CCGCACCAGCTCCCTATCAGGTGACAGGTGTCCAGTAGGTACTTCTGCATGGAATTGAGTCTTAGCACCATGACAAAGTCTTCTTTCCGTTGTATCCTACCTAGTTCCCAGTGTAGTACCCAGTACCGATTGGTACTACAATGTGCTCAAATTGACTGAGTAAATCATAATCCCACTAAGTTGTTCCTGAATCCAAGTGTTACTACTTTCAGAGTCTGCATTTTATAAGAGGTCAACCATAAATGTGTAATGCTTAATAATCCCAGTGGAATTGACCTAAGAGTGGCAACAGGGAGCCTGGGTGAGGAGGACATTTGTGAGCAGGGGCTCTTTGGTGCCCCACCAATCATGCCACATCACTGCCACTCTCCCTGAGGGCCTCAGAATGTTGGGTCAAAAAGGGATCATGATATTCTGCCGATAGACCCCTTTGGCTGTCTGCCTTTCCTGAGTTTTCTCTCTTCTATTACATTTTCATGTTTCCTTTGGCCCAACAACACAGACAGTACCATCTTCTTGTTAAAGAGCCCTGTAGGCATGCATCTCTTGCCAGAATCTCCTAGTTGCAAACCTTCTACACTTTCAGCTTTTATCCCTAATAATAAAACTGTGGGAGGTTGACACCCGCAGGCAGACAACCAGGGGCTCTGCAGGACTGGATCCCCTCCTCAGCACGCCACCTACATTCCAGGATTTGGTTCCAACTCCGTAGTCTCCTTCATTTGCTCAGGTGCCCAGCTGTGTAGAATCTGCCTCCCACTGCTGTCCTGACCCAATTCAAGCTCTCACTCTCCCCTAGATTATTTTAACTATTTCCTAATGAGTATACCTATCTCTGGTTGTGATCAGCTGTAAAGGTGTTTGGCCATGATCCCAAATTTATGATTAACTTCCTACTGGGGCCACCACATGACCCACTAGTCCCCATATGCAGGGACAAGGCCAGGGATATTTGGTACCTTATGTAGAAGAGCACATGACCCCGAAGACAGAGAACCAAGAGCACATGACCCCGAAGACAGTGAACCAAGAGCACATGACCCCGAAGACAGAGAACCAAGAGCACATGACCCCGAAGACAGAGAACCAAGAGCACATGGCCCAGAGCGGGCAAACAAGAAAGAAAGAGCCCTGACCGGTTTGGCTCAGTGAATAGAGCGTCAGCCTGCGGACTCAAGGGTCCCAGGTTCGATTCCTGTCAAGGACATGTATCTTGGTTGTGGGCACATCCCCAGTAGGGGGTGTGCAGGAGGCAGCTGATCGATGTTTCTCTCTCATCAATATTTCTAACTCTCTATCTTTCTCCCTTCCTCTCTGTAAAAAAATCCATAAAATATATTTAAAAAGAAAGAAAGAAAGAAAAGGAAGGAAGGAAGGAAGGAAGGAAGGAAGGAAGGAAGGAAGGAAGGAAAAGAAAAAGAAAGGATTGGTTATGCATCATCAGGAGTTTAGAGCCTCTCCCTTAACTGTGGGAAAGCCCACTTCCCGCCTCAGTCCTGACTCACAGAAGCTTCTGACTATGCTGACCACTCCCCATCAATCGTGCCTCTCCACACTCCGTCCCCATAGCCTCAGTGTTTAAAATTGCTTTTTAAATTACACAAGACCTGCCCTGACCCATCTGGCTCAGTGGATAGAGGGTTGGCCTGCGGGCTGAAGGGTCCCAGGTTCGATTTCAGTCAAGGGCATGTACCTTGGTTGCAGGCACATCCCAAGTAGGAGGTGTGCAGGAGGCAGCTGATCGATGTTTCTCTCTCATTGATGTTTCTAACTCTCTATCCCTCTCCCTTCCTCTCTGTAAAAAATCAATAAAATATATTTAAAAAATAAATAAATAAATAAATAAATTACACAAGACCTATTGGGATATCATAAACAAATACTATAAAAAAAATAAGGCAATATTGAAAAGTTTCCCCTCATTTCCCTACTTCCATTCCCTTCCTCAGGGATAACCTGACAGCTTGTGTCCTTGATCTTTTTGTTTAGCAATGCTAGTGGGTGTGAGGCTGTCTGTGCATGCATACAGGAATTTTAAAACACATAAATGGGCCAAACACAGATTGGCTCAGTGGATAGAGCGTCGGCCTGAAGACTGAGAGGTCCCGGGTTCAATTCTGGTCAAGGGCATGTACCTTGGTTGCGGGCACATCCCCAGTGGGGGGTGTGCAGGAGGCAGCTGATCGATGTTTCAAACTCTCTATCCCTCTCCCTTCCTCTCTATAAAAAAATCAATAAAATATATTTAAAAAACAAACAAACACATAAATGGAACCGTGCTATACTTAGTTTTCTCCACCTTGCCTTTATCATTTAACATTATAGCATAGACCACTTTGTGTTAGTTAATATAGAACTGCCTCATTCTTTTCATGGTTGCGTGATAGCCCACAACGATATCATATTATACGATACTTTTGTTGCTGGATGCTTCAGTGGCTTCTCATTTTTTTCTCTGTAACAACAATGCTACAATGAACTCCTTTGTATATATGTCTACCTGGCCTTGAGTATTGCCACTGCAAGAAAACTCCTGGTGTGGGGTTCCAACTATGCATACCCTACGGCACCTCTGCTTCTTCCAGGACTCAATTAGACCCTGGAAGAATGCCCCCTGGCTCGGTGCTGCCTCCACTCTTGCCCCATCATTCTGCTGTGGTGGTCACAGCATACCTCGTGGTCCAGACATCACCATTCTGATGACCCTTCCATAACATAGAAAGGTGCAAAAGTACAGCTGGTGTCCCTCTGACCATTTGGAGGAAAGAAATGGGGCCAGCTTCTTCAAATGCAATTCAGCTGGAGAAAGCATGAGAGTGGGTGTCTACCAAAGTGGTTTTCAAGATTCTCTTTTGCCCCTGGGATGGAGGGTGGGACTGCAATGGCAGTGAATCGCTGACAAAGATAACAAGGAGCTGAAGTGATGCTAGAAGCGCTCCAAAGCAGCAGAGGGAGCTAGGGAGAGTGGTGTGAGTGTGTGTGTGTGTGTGTGTGTGTGTGTGTGTACACATGGAAATGTGTATGTGTGTTTAGCCCTGAACCAAATGTCCTTGGCTCATGGACAGAGAGAGCCAATCTTTGATCTAATGTGTTGTATTTTTTGTCCTTTAAGATTTTCAAGTACCCTGGTCCTGCAAGAAGCAATAGGGGCTAATGAGAAGCAGGCTATACTCTGGGAAACAGGAAATCTGGTTCCATTTATGACTTCACCAGGGCCTGCCATGCAATTCCGAGCAGCTTGTTTGCTGCTCCATGCCTTTGGCCTCTCTCTTCTAGAGGTGCCATCTGCACCTTTGGGACACAGGGGTTAGGTTTCTCGTTTTCCCTGCAAAATAGTATAGTGTCACTGGCTGTTAAAAATGGACAGTCATTTGAATGAGATGTTTGCTGTGGTTGGCGTACCCTGATGGGAAGTTTCCTTCTTCCTTACAGAAGGAACATGTGTTTGTGGTATTGGAGGCAGGGGATGAACTTCCTGTGTGGCAGCCTCCTGAAATGCATTCTTGCACACACAGATGCAAAGGCAGATGTTGACCTGCTCTCTCAACCCTTCAGAGACTCTTCAGGGAATGGTGGTATGATCATTGTCAGAGTAGAACAATAAACACATCTGCTTTAATCAGGGATAAGCTATGTATGGGCAGTTTAAGCAAAACTAAACTTTGCTCATGGAAAAGTAATTTATTTAGACAAATCAGGATTTTTCAACTTTCTATTGAAGTGGGACATACATACAGAAAAGTGCATGCATCATAAATGTACAGATTGGTGAATGTGCAAAGTGAACACAGCTATATTACCCAGGTAGCCACTACCTAAGTCAAGAAGTAGAACATTACGGCACTCCTGAGGACCCCATGCCCCCCTCCCAGCTACTAGTTCTTTGAGGTACAGCCATAACCTGACTTTCAACACTTCATATTAATTATGCCTGTTCTTTTTTTTTTACAGTTTGATATGCTATGTATTTAGTTATTAAGGTGGGCAGTCTATCATGCAACATTACAGATATCCTTCAAAACTATAGTAAAATGCAGTCCACTATCCAGCCCGGGAGAAGACAATAAATAAGATCATTCTTGTAGTAAGTGTAGCATAAGCACTCATAGAGTCCCTTTCTTGGACATCAAAGGGGATAATTAATCTGTCAAAGGGTTCTTTACCTCCACTGTGGTGTTAACTTTTTGGAATTATAGCTGTTTCAGAGTCAAAAGTTCAACTTCATTCACCCTAGAGATGTACACGAATTATGCCTGTTCTCGAACTTTATATAGATAGGGGAAATTTATTCACAGTCTGTGAACTCTTAATCATTTATTCTCACTAGTATATATGGTATTCCATGATAGGAATATATCACAGTTGCCCAGCTGGGGTGGCTCAATTGGTTGGAACATTATCTCACGTACCAAAAGGTTGTGGGTTCAATTCCTAGTCAGGGCACATATTCAGGTTCCAGGTTTGGTCCTGGTTGGGTGCACACAGGAGGCAACTGATAGATATTTTTCTCACAGGGATGTTTTTTCTCTATCTCCCTTCCTCTCTCTCTAAAATCAATAAACTTGTTTTTCTCACATTGTTGTTTCTCTCCCTCTCTCTCCTTCCCTTCCTCTCTCTCTAAAATCAATAAACATGTTTTTGGGCGAGGATTAAAAATAAAGAATTAAACTAAAAAAAAAAAAAGAAAAGAAAAGAAATACACCACAGTTTATTTATCCATTCTATGCTAATGAAATGTGGGGCTGTTTTGGCTATTTTAAACGATGCTGTATGAACAGTGCAGACACTTCTGTTGCGGACATTCCTACAAGTGGAATTGCTGGGTCCCAGTGTTTGCATACATTCAGCTTTAATGGACCTTGGAAACAGCAATGAGTGAGAGCTGGAATGTATTTTTGACGGGTGACGGAGCACAGAGCTAAGACCAGGCCCCAGGCCTCTGGTCCCCTCCCAGGCTTGAATTACAGGGCAGCCAGAGCAAACCGACTGTCAATTGGAAATAATTAGTACCTGCTCTAGTACTTGCTGTGGGTGGGAAAGCCCTCTGGGAAGGCTCGAGCTGTCATTAAAATGAGAGCAAAGGAGGGAGGCTCTTAATTATTAATAAGAACTAAAGAAAAACTATGTTTATGTGAATTTCCATTTCGAATTAAAAACCCAGAGATTAGATTAACTGCTCTGCTAGACAGAATTGTAGTGCCAATGGGGGCCTGCTGTAGTATTATTCTCTCAAACCCAAACGCAATGAGTAACCTCCCAAGCCTGCCCTCGTATCTCAGTAGAAGATTCCTCTACTGCCTGGAGTCCCAGGGGTCCTCCCAGTTTTTTCTCTCAGTTGCCAACTGCCCGGCTTCTTCCTTCTCCTGCATCAGCCTGAGCTGGCCTGATCCGGAAAAACTGGTTGGGCTGTGCCTGACTAGACCAGTTACAACACACCAGGAAAGCAAAGGTCGCAGTCATTTTATGTCTGCAGTATCGAACATAAAGTGTGAGTACTGTCAACGAGGTGCTTTGGTCTCATAGTAAAACTAAAAGTTCATGGGCACTTATTTTACCAAAATTGAAATCAGGGGCTGTAAAAAAATAATTAATTGAAAGTGCTGTCAAAATCTCTTCCATCCTATTGGTTCCCATGCGGATTGTTACACAAGTAGAAGACAGCGCCCTCTTCTGGCCAATGCCACACTTGCAAGGCTTAACCAAGGGGATTGCCAACTCATGGGACTGATTTTTCACTTGGGAGCAGGATCCCTTGGGATGAGTCTTAAGTAAAGCATGTTTGGGGACACACCCTCTTCAAAAAAAGAAAGCTCAAAACTGTGATGGTTATAATGGGAGTAAGAAGTATTAGTGGGTAGTTACACAACAGGCAGGGGGGTGAAAGGTAAAGCCTAGGGAATACAGTCAACAATGTTGTAATAGCTACCGTATTTTTCTGTGTGTAAGATGCTATTTTTTTTTTCTAAAATCGTTAGACTGAACATCGAGGGGCGTCTTACACACGGAAAAATACGGAGGGAGCTGAGGAGGGAGCCTCACGGGTGCCTAGCTGCCCATACCTTATCTAACAGGCTTCCTCCAACCACCAGTCTTATTGTTACTGACATCAGCTGATGCCAAATTGGACGTGGAGGTGGAGAGTGCGCAGATGCAACAGGGACCTGAGCATTCTGAGCCCATAAAGATGTCAAAAAATACAAAGGTAAGTACCTGTAAGCGATTGTCTTACTCTGCAAAATTCAAACTGAATGTAATCAGCTATGCAAAAGAGCAGGACACAGAGCTGCAGAGAGACAGTTTGGACCTCCTCCCACTGAGTGTATGATCAGTGGAGAAAACAAGAAAAACAACTCCGTAAGAGGCCAAAAAAGAAGTCCTTAAGAGGAAAACCAGCAAAATGTTTAAAATATTGATATCTTAATTTTGGCTTGGAAAAGTGGCGGGCATCTTGTACATGGGGGTGTCAGGCAGACACTTAAAATATCAGAGGGAACAGTTTGTAATCTATGTGACTATCCACTGTGTGTATTCCTGAAACTAATATGAAAATGTTGAATGCAAACTGTAATAAAAAAAATGGTGATGGTTGATTTTATGTGTGATTAACATTTAAATTGGTACTTTTGTTTTTTACCTTGCATAATGTGGGTAAGCCTTAATTTTTAAGAGTAAAAACTGAAGTTTTCTAAAGAAGAAATTCTACTTATAACAGTGACATCTCCTTTGAACGAACATAAAGAGACATGAAGTGTAGCAATTGATCTTTTGATTTGAGGTTTGAGTCCTGGTCCTATCCAGCTACTTAATCATACTTAGCTTTGGTTTCTTCGTTTGTATGAAGAATAAAATAGTAACATTTATTGAATAGGTTGTTATAAAGATGAAATAAGAGAAAGCATGTGCTTAGGATAGTGTCTGGCTCAGAGTAAGTACTTGATAAATGTTAGCAGTTATTATTAAGGTTACCGAGGGAAGCTGTCAGAGAAGACTGAGGGGCACATGGAAGGGTAGCTGGTCCCGTTCAGTCCCCCGGCCCTTGTCTCCCAAAGCCCACACAGACGGGCGGTCTCTGCTTTTCACCACCTGTTCCTGGGACATTAATACACTATTTCTTTTTTTTTTTTTTTCACAATTTCTTATTAAGTGCTGATCTCCTCCCATAGGAACCCAATCAAGATGGAAAGTCAGATTCCACATTAAGGACTAAGTCATAGAAGAAACCATTCTTATGGCACAAAAGCCAAGTTCAGCAAATCTTGGTAACCATTTAAAACAGTAAAATTATTCTTTTAACACTTAACATGGGGCCTCTATAAAATTTAATCTTTTTCTCCACAATGCAACTTATGGATTTAATTAGAAGTTTTGTTTGCTTCTCACAAGTGAGAAGAATTTTTGCAAGATGATTTGGTTGGTCAAAACCTGTTTCTAAAGCTAGCCAATGATCTCTAGGTGGGGGGATTTTGGTTAATTTATATTTTCTTTCTTTCTTTTTTTTACGTGTGTGTGTGTGTTTCATTAGCTGATTCACCAGAAGGACCCACGAGAGTCATCAGCAGGTTATACACTTACTGAGATTTATTATAGCAAAGGGTACGTGGCAAAAACAGTAGGAAAAGATATGCATTAAAGGGTCCTGACAGGTTCAACACAGGCTTCCAATGCCATTCATTGTCTGAGGCTACACAGGGTATTCCTCTCGCCTTTAACTATGGGGACATGTGTGGAACGTGTTTGCACGTGGAAGCCTGTTTGAGTCTCAGAGTCAGAGGCTTTTATGGGGAGCTGGTCACGTAGGTAGATTTGCTACGCAACCACCTATGACAAACAAAACTCAGGACCCTAACAATGAAACCAGGTGCACATCGTCAATCTCAATGTTTGTGCAAAGCAACCAGACAAGCAGGTATAGCCATTGCTCCAGGCGTACAGAACCAACCCATCAATCACTAAAAGAAAGAACACTCTAGAAACCGCATTCCCAGCACTGGCCCAGGGTTAACCATGGGTCCTTTGGAGTAAGCAACCAGATATCTGATATGCTGTGTTAACTCTTTCCTCTCAGTCTGTATTTCCTAAAATTCCCGTAACAAACCTGTATTACTTTTATAATCAGAAGAGTAACCATTAATATAAAGGCACCCACCGTGAATGATTTTCTTTGTTGGTGACTTCATGACACTGCTGTGCGATCTCTGTACATTTCCCTGTAATCAGGAGAGCTGCCGAGAGAAGTGAAGTCACCCTCCTAGACGTGTCAGCGATGCCCGCGGAGCCTTCTATGGAAAACCATACAGGCCAGGACAGAGCACGTGAGACCGAGGAGGGACCACAGCAACAACACCTGTCCACTTCCCCAACTTAGAGATGAGGAAGTGGGAACACCGAGCAGTTAAAGGACTCACTCACGGCTCTAAATCTCGGGTGTTTTCTATTTAAAATGTCTCTCAGAACTCCTGAAGTGGAATAAGGCAATGTCTGCTTTGTGGCTTCTGCTTGTCTTTTATGTGGGCAGGGCTGGAGGAGCCGTGACTGGGGGAGCTGCCTGAACCAAGTGTGCATGGTCCCATCTGCTTTAGTCTCAGCCGTAGGCTGCCCATCCTTCCCCAGGGCCCTGCCCATGCTATTGGGGTCAATGGTTCAGTTCAGACCCAGAGATTAGTTTCATCTTCACTAAAATTTCCCCTTCACGGACTCTCTTGTAAGTTGGGGGAAAGGGGTGTCTGTCCCCATGGGACTGCAATTTCCTCGAAGGCCTCCTGGAACCAGGTTATACAGTGGTTATAATTGTGGGTAGTGAAATGAAGTGATCCCAGGTTTGAATTCTGGCTTAGCATCTCAATGGCTTGTGTGATTTGATTACCTAATGGAAATAATAGTACCTCTGTCATAAAGTTATTGAGGGTATGAAAGGATGTAATAATTATTTGATTTTATTTATTGATATGAGAGACAGAGAGAGAGAAAGAGAGAGAGAGAGAGAGAGAGAGAGAGAGAGAGAAACATTGTTCTGTTGTTCTGCTTGCTTATGCATTCATTGGTTGATTCCTATATGTGCCCTGATTGGTGTATCAGGATGATGCTTTAACCAACTGAGCTCCCTGGCCAGGGCGGTAGTAATAATTCCTAACTAGCATGGAGTTTGGCATATTAAAAGTGTTCAATAAATTTTCGCTATTATTTTTTTAAATAGGTACTCTGTTTCAGAAAACTATTTTCTGATCTTTTTAAAAAGTTTTATTGAGGTAATTGACATATAATATACACTATACATGTTTAAAGGATACATTGTCATAAGTTTTGACATGTACATACCTGTGAAACCATCACCATGATCATATGCATAACCCCCCAAGGTTTCCTTCTATCCTTTTGTAATACCTTTTCCTGTCCTCAGACTATTTCTGTCTGTCTCTACATATTAGCTTACACTTTCTAGATTATTATGTGAACTGAATCATATTTTGACATTTACCCACATTGCTGGGTGTGTCAATTGCTCAGTAGACATACTACAATTTGTTTATCCATTCACATACTGATGGACATTGGGTTGTTTCTGTTTTGAAGTATTAGAAATAAAAATTATATGAAGATATGTGTACAAATCTTTGTACAGGCATATACTTACATTTGTCCTAAAGTACAATGGGTGGGTTATAAGTATGTATCTGTTTCAAGTTTTTAAGAAACTGCCAATTTGTTTTCCAAGCATTCATACTATTTTGCATTCCCACCAATAGTGTATAGGGGGTCCAGATGTTCCACATCCTCGACAGCGGGAACACCCTCAGGTAGTCTTGCCGTGGAAACGGAGTTATTCAGACAGAGTTCCTGTAGTTAAACACACGAGGGAAATATTGGGTTTCTTTGCAAAAAGACTGGTTAATGCCTTGTATGCTGGTGGTACCTTCCCACCAGTAGGTTATCATATGTAGACTCCTCAAACTTCCTGACCATGGAACTCTTTATTTGAAGTGCATCTCTAGCAATTAGTGTTCTACAGAATATGTCTTGGGAAATGCGGTCTCGGGGGTTGCTGGGAAATGTAGATGTTACCATAGCAGCCATACACTAAGCAGTTGATCTGAAATCCCCTTGTGTACCATTTAAGGGGTAAACATTCTGCTTTTCTGGGTTAGAAAGAAAACTATGACAAGAAGCCAGATAGGGAAATTGAAGATACTCAGGATGTGAGCTGACCAAATTATCCAATCAAGGTTTCTCTAATTTCCCTTTTGGAGTAAATCCAGGGGTGAGACCCCACCCCCCAGTCAGCACAGTGGGGACAATTTCCCACAAATGGCTTATAGATCGCTGCATAATCAGGTGCTTTGAAAGATATTAAGATTATAAAAAGGGGACTTCCTCTTCCACCAGGCTGGGAACACATGCCCAATGAGACCTCAAGGAACCCAATCTCCTTGCCAAGGATCGCCCTGATATGGTTCCCCTGGAGGGCCACGTGATTCTAAAGACTTGCAGGTGAGTTTACTGGAGCCCTCTGCATTTGCCAATGGGAGGGCAGCTAACTTAATCTAGTAGACAAAACAGAGTAGAGCTGATCATAGGTTTTCTACCCGATTGCATTCCTTTAAAAATGTGTGTATTGATTTCAGAGGGAAAAAAGGAAGGGGGAGGGGGGAGAGAGAGAGAGAGAGAATCACTGATTGGCTGCCTCCTGCACACCCCGCACTGGGGATCGAGCCTGCAACCCAGGCATGTGCCCTGACCAGGAATTGAACTGTGACCTCCTGGTTCATAGGTTGATGCTCAACCACTGAGCCACGCCGGCCGGGCCCCTATTGCATTCCTTTTCACATCTTCTGTCTCCACGCCATCAACATGTAGGCACATACCTGCCCGCATTCCTGGCCCATTCCTTCCTGCTCACAAGGGAAGCCTTTTTCTTGCTCCTCTGGCATCCTCTTCCTGGCACCCTTCCCCCAGTTGTCTCCTGCCTAAATCCTGCTCATCCTTCAGATTGCAGCACAGATGTTTTCCCGGTGAACTTTACCTGACTCCTACATACGAGGCTATACTTCCCCCCCATCACTTCTCGTAAGTGTAATTAAAATTATTTAATGATTGTCTCTTCCACTAGCATGTGAGCTGTGTGAGGGCAGAAATAGTTCGACAAGTTCACTCCCCAGCTACCAGCACACGGCACAGGGTAAGTGGCCGTAAGTAAATGTGGAATGGTTCAAAAACCTAGGTGCTGATCATTTACTTCAGGGCTGTTCTGTCTCCCTTTGTCCGAAGTCAAAGTCTTCTCAGTTCCCTTTGTCCAAGGTTCAGATCCTCCCATACTCCCTCCAAGACGCGCCTCTGTTATCTATCCCCTGATCAGAACAGTTGACGTCACTGTATACAGGCTAGTCTCTCAGGTAATCTGGAGCCAAGGAGCCTGGGAAAAGCAGCACTCCCCTTCTAAATATGAGGTTTTCGGGGGAGGAGGGGGCTGGTGGAAGGCAAAGTGGGTAAATGGGGTCAAATACATGGTAACAGGAAACGAGACTTCAGGTGGTAGCACACAATAGGCGTATGCAGATGTTGGAATTAGGATGTTGTACACCTGAAATTTATATAATGTCACTAAGTTACCTCAATAAATAGAATTATTTTCAGTGAGGTTTTCAAAGCTTGTAGCGGGTCTGAGACTCTGTAATGAATAGCTCATGTGTACTCGCAAAACCCAGCAAGAATGACGGTGTAGCTGCGGGCAGCCGCAAAGAGGTTATGTTCGCAGGTATGCTGCTGACGTCACTGGGCACAACTCCTGGAAAGCTGTTCTGCGTGCGGGCGTTCTCTGGAATGCTGGGAACAGGGCTAGTCAGAGGTAGCATAGTTACACTAACTGTTTCAGTCCGTTCCTTGCCTGCCTCTCATCTCTCCCCACAACCCATGCACATACCCAGGCCTGGAGCCTGAGATTTCCTTAGCCCATCTCCAAAGTCAATTGCTTTCACACAGCGTATGGATGTGATTAGGAAACTACGGCTAGGGTCCAAGTAGCTGGAGGTGAGGGCAGCCTCCCTCTTGCACACTCTGGGAGACAGGACTGTTTCTAGCGCAAGGTACTTCGAGGCACTGATGCAGACCTGCATCTTAAGGGGGGAGAACAGGCTCTGCCTTTGACAAAGCCGAGTTGTACCCTTGACTTGAAGCTGTTGTGAGGACCTAGTGAGACAATGTGATTGCATCCTTTAGGACACTTTATGGTACATCGTTAGTGCTCAAAACATGGTGTTTCACGGTGAGGTGCTCCTCGGGTGTTTTCAGCGTAACCTATGCCTCCTGCCTCAGTAACATCACAACTGGATGGAATGGCCTGCTCATGGCCCCAGTCAGGTGCTCAGTGGGTTAGAGCATTGTCCCATATGCCAAGGTTGCGGGTTTGATCCCCAGCCAGGGAACAGATGGGAGTCAACCAAGGAATGCATGACGGTGGAGCAACAAATCAATGTTTCTCTCTCTCCCTCATTCCTTCCCTTCTTTCCCCCCTCTCTCTCTAAATCAATCAATAATTTTTTTTAGTGGCCTGCTCACTTTTCTCTTTCCTCTGCTAGACTAACACCTAGAAAGTGCCTTCCAGGTCTCACCAGTTCTCATCTGTTGAGTGCTTATCAATCAAGCACTAAGTGCTTTACATGGATTACTTCATTTAATTCTCAAAACCCCATGAAGCTGGGAATTATCATTATCTCCATTTTATAGAGGAAGAAATGAAGGCACGAAAAGGTTAAATTCATGCAAAAGTAGGGTTTCAGTTGTTCGTATGGAAAATAATACAATAATCAATCAATAATAATGAAGAATAAACCATTTTGTGTACTCACAACTGTAAATGTACTTTTGCCCCACCCTGTACCTGGTGAGTGGCGGAGCCAGTATTTAAACAGAGCTGGTCAGCTCCAGAACCTGTGCTCTCTACCACTGCACCCCACCTACGCCCCACTCCAACGTATTTTCCTCTTACCTAGCAGCACCGAGGAACATGTCATCCTGTTGTCTCCTCCTGTGTTTGTGGGGCTCAGTGTTCTGTGATTCTCCTTGTGCTGGCCCAACACAAAGCCTTACACAATGGAAGGCTTTACAATAGCCTCTGCACGTCTAGTGCTGGGTGTGGCTTGCTGGGTTTATGTTGCAATTATGCTCTTTCACAAAAAATCTCTTGGTGCCGTTGCCAGACTCCACACTAGACTCAGTGGCCCGCTGCGCAGACCCTGTGTGCTCACAACTGTGTGTTTCCTAAAGCAACCGAGAGCTTCGCTTTAGCATGAAGGAAACCTCACTGGCTCTCGGCACTACTGACACGTGTCTCAGGATCTGTCACCACTAGGTAGGCCTTTCTCGGAGAGCCTGGGTGAACCTGGGGTTTCCTCTCAATATTAGCTGCTCAGATTCCATGTTTTTAGAAAAACATGTGAACTAGACATACAAAAGCATCACAGGTTTTTGGGGTTAAATAAATACAATGAAGACTCATGTACGGCCACCGCCCCCTCGACAGAATATTATCAGACAGTACCGAGTCCTCCAGGTCCCCCACCCGTCACATCCCTCCTCCAGTCCCCCTTCGGTAACGCAATGTGCTTTTATTATGAGAGGATGAATAGAGAGTGATGATTTTCAGATAAATAAGTCAGATGTGATTCCTCAGTTCTTGTTAAGAAAGGTGCTCACAGCCCTAGCCAGTTTGGCTCAGTGGATAGAGCGTTGGCCTGCAGACTGAAAGGTCCCAGGTTCGATTCCGGTCAAGGGCATGTGCCTTGGTTGTGGGCACATCCCCAGTAGGGGGTGTGCAGGAGGCAGCTGACCAATGTTTCTCTCTCATCGATGTTTCTAACTCTCTATCCCTATCCCTTCCTCTCTGTAAAAAATCAATAAAATATATTTTTTAAAAAAAGAAGGTGCTCACAGCAAATGCATATTCAAATTTAGGGTATTTTGAGGTTTCACTGTCTATTCACTCCTATTTTCAGTGAGCTGTTTCCGATTCTAACTTCACAAACCCTGCAGCATAATGGTGTACCGAGAACAGCTGTGTCACAAAATGTGGACAACATGCAAAACGAATTTTTGCCAGTTGGGGGACAGGCACTTGCATGGCAACGGCTGTCGGAATGTGAAGCTGACAGGGGGCTACAGATGGTGAGGAGCTGCAGGAGGGAAGAGGGAGTATCCCGTTAAGCCAGCACCAAGCAACAAAGAAAAAGTGTTTCCTGCAACATGCGAGAAACTGGTGTAACCATGTGGAAGAACTTGGCTGTGGTAGTAGGCATCCTGCTAAGCCTGATGAGTACTAGTGTGCTAACTCATGCAGCCTTTAATCCTTAGAGGAGAGCTAGGGTCCTAGTATTAAAAAATGTGCCCCAACCCAACCAGCATGGCTCAGTGGCTGAGTGTCGACCTATGAACCAGGAGGTCATGGTTCGATTCCTGGTCAGGCCATATGCCCGGGGTTGCAGGCTCAATCCCCAGTGTGGGGTGTGCAGGCAGCTGATCAATGATCTCTCTCATCATTGATATTTCTCTCTCTCTCTCTCCCTCTGAAATACATATATATATATATATATATATATATATATATATATAAATTTTTTTAAGTGCCCCAAACACCAAACTATTGAGAACTAGTACTTCAACCAATAGGTATTCCTGAAGCAGTTTAACACGTTTTTATCACTTACTCCTGCCACTAATGCACCCTCTGAAATAATTTCGCTGTCTCCTCCCCACCGCCGTTACTGTGATTTAGAGTCATGTCAGCCCAGGTCTGGAGGAAATAAAATGCAATTGTACCATAGATTTGGTAATGTTTGTATGCAGCAGTTGAAAGAAGCCCCCCTCTCTCAACAACAAAAAAACCACTGGAAATAATTTCAGTGCTACTCAGTTTATGAGAGGATTAAGTTAGGAAAAAATTTGGAACTTTTAAGGGAAATTGCTTTCAGAATTGGGGGAAAAGGGACACAGGTCATGAGGCAGAAACTGTTGGCGAGATGCCCAGAAAAGTAGGAAACCTTATTCCCCTCTCTCCTTCTCGAAAGAGCTTCTCTATCCCCACAGAAAGCCTGGCTTCCTGTCCGACTGAAATGTGCTCCCTTCTAGCTTTGGGATTTGCTGAAGGCCATGCAGCTGCAATGACGTGACTTGGATGCAGTAGAAGAACAAATAATATATGTGAACCAAAGGATCAACTTCGAGGCTAAGACACGATTTTCAGGACAAGTTTTTTTATCTCAGGAAATACACACAGAAAATCTTCACTCTTATTTTTTGTTATAGTTAGAACCACCATATAATTTATCCTTCAAACCACGACACTTTTGAGAATACATTGCATGTGCTAATAATAACTATGCCTTAACAACATAAACCAAAATCGTTCCAGGAAAACTGGAATATCTGACCACTTACAGTGCAAGGTTGATGTTCAATAAATGTTAATGTATTGTCACGTTGTGTAACGTTTAGCCCTCAAACTTGACAAACTGAAAAAAAAGGAACATTCATATAGATACTATTCAACATGTATTCTTTTATTTATGCTAATTCACTAAATAGACCCCTTTGCCTAGGGAAGGAAGAATGTTCCATTTTCCTGTGGTACTTTGAGCAATATTATCTGTGTTACAGTTAATAAGGAGCACAGGAAGCTAGTCAGTTGTACCAAATCATTGCAGAACTGTGCTGAGAGCTCACAACTCTGCCCCTCAATCCCCAGCAATTGTGCTGCTCACTGAACCATGAAGCTTGCCATCTAGAACTTGGTGGGATTTCTATTACGGATGCCCCCAAAGTGGAGAGTTGTTACCACCTTTCAAATAAGAAATCTCGTGAAAGCCTTGGCTGGGTAGCTCAGTTGGTTAGAGCATCATCCTGATACGCCAAGGTTGTGGGTTCCATCCTTAGTCAGAGCGCATACTAGAAGCAACCAGCGAATGCATAACAAGTGGAACAAAGATCGATGTCTCTCACTCTCCCTTTCTCTCTCTCTAAAATCAATGGGGCAAAAAAATCTCATGAAGTTTGTAAAGAGGTTCTTCCTAGTTCACATTACTATACTCTTTTTCTTTTTTTTTTCTTTTTTAAATAAATTTTATTGATTTTTCACAGAGAGGAAGGGAGAGAGATAGAAAGTTAGAAACATCGATGAGAGAGAAACATCGATCAGCTGCCTCCTGCACATCTCCCACTGGGGATGTGCCCGCAACCCAGGTACATGCCCTTGACCGGAATCGAACCTGGGACCTTTCAGTCCGCAGGCTGACACTCTATCCACTGAGCCAAACCGGTTTCGGCTACTATACTCTTTTTCATACCACTTCTATAAAAAGCTCAAGTACAAGTCCTGATTAGTCATGTACTTTGGTCTTTTTTTGGTAAAGATTTCTTTGGGCATTCAAGGGATCCAGGTATTAAGCATAGTCCTTGGGATTTTTGTGTGTGACGGTTACTAAGCAACAGTGGAGATGTTTTAACTTCGCATGTCCTGTGTTGGCAAGTTTAAAAAAGAACTGTCAGGCCATACTTGGCAGAACCTCCCTTGGACTCCCCCACCATCTATACAGTTTCTGTACATCTTGGCTGCTCATCCACTGCTAACAGAGACCTCTTCTGTCTCAGCCACTCTGACAGCCTTGCCTCAGTCTTTCCCCTGCAGGGCAGCTGGACACCCAATGTCTTCAATAACTGGCAGGACTGGAACTAACTAGGGGTCTGATCATTCAGTAGCTCTTACAATTCTCACATCCACATCTTAAATCTACTCTTAACTGCTACCCCTTGGACATTATTTGCTTTTGCTTAAGAAAATATAACTAAGTCCTTCGTTTAAGAACTGTGCCAAGCCACTAAACTGGAAGGACATACATCTCAAACATAAACACTAGCTTTTTAAAGTGAATATCCAATAAAACTCATTCAGTGACAAAATGTGTGAAAACGTCTGCTACAAAACATTCGATGGACATGATTTTCCAGGTGTACAATTCTGGAAACAGAATTACAGCACTAAGGCAGCCATGGCAGATACATATAATAGAGAACCTGTTCTTAGGAAAGCAGCGTTCTGAGTGTAGTGGTTTACAGCAAAAACTGTGCACACAAGATTCTGTTCCCTAACATATGACCTATGTGGTATCTATAGCTTAGCCTTAGTTTCATCATCTGTAAATTGGGGATAAGAACTGTCCTTGTCTTAGAGGTTTGTTGGGAGGCTTAACCAAGACTGTTCTGGGTTTAGTAGTGTCAACTAGACTTATTTCTGTTTCCTCCTAGAGTGCATCTCAAAGGCAGGAGTGTTAAAAATTGATGTCAAGTATACCTAAGAGCTCTCATTATTAGCTGCCAGGACATGAAGCTGTAAGAATAAGTGACAATACCTGAAGCTCAGTTTAACTTGGCCTAACTAAGAGTTTAACTGGTTGAGTGTTATCTTAGCAGTTTCCCAAAGCGTTGGAACCTCCTCAGTGGTGTCTTAAGAGGACAAGTCAGGATGTCTGGTGGAGAGAAGGATCTAAACTGGTAATCAAGGAACTGCATAAAAAAAGTATTGGAAGCTTGAACAAAATGTAATCTTGTGGAAAAATCCTAAATATCTATGACTAAAGAGCTGGTGTCATCATTTTATGTAGTATGACCATGGGAATTTAACCTCTTTAAAGGTTTCCTTTATTTTAGAAAAGAGTATCTTTTAAATCTAAGTAAGCTTTAAGGAATGCAAGTCTAAATAACCATTTAAAATTGTCTAACATAAAACATGACCATAGCAAAAACTTAACATGTTAAATTTCCTCATTTCTTATGTGACACTAACATTTTAAGCATGGCTTAGAATTCTAGATGGCCTGAGATCCTATTATACTTGTGAATCTGATTAAGATTTTAGCAAATCTCAACTAGGAGACATTGTTATCTATTTTTAAAATTTAAAAGCAGCAAATTTTTGTCTCCCCAAACAACTTATCTTTAAGTGCTATAGAGCAAATGTGTACCCCACCAAATTCATGTTGAAGGACTAATCCACAATGTGATGGTACTGGGAGATGGGACCTTTGGGAGGTAATTAGAACAGGTCACGAGGGTGGGGCCCTTATAATGGGATTAGTGCCCTTGTGAGAGACATCAGAGAGCTTCAATAGAAGGCTCCCTCACTTCCCAGCCTCCAGAACTATAAGAAATTAATCTTGTTTAAGTCACCCAGTCTGATATTTTGTTATGGCAGCCCAAGTTGACTAATACAGTAGGTAAAATATATGAAGTGGAAGAACAGACCTGGCTACGTAGCTCAGCTGGTCAGAGGGTTATGCTGATATGCCAAGGTGTTGGGTTTGATCCTTGGTCCGGGCACATACGAAAGTTAACCAATAAATGCATAAATAAGTGAAACAACAAATGTTTCTCTCTAAAATCAATAAAAATAAAGTTGAAGAATGGGATTGCTCTAGTGAAAGCAGGGAGCAGAGAGGAAGTAAGCTTTACCTGCTTGGTCCACTCCTTAGCTGGAGCACCAGGGTACCACAAAACACAGTATAAAAATAGTTTAATGCACCAGCATAAAAACCTGCTCAACCAAGTATGAATAATGCTCAAGTGCTACAGACACAAACTCTAGGAGATGGCCCAAATTCTCTTATGGTATTGAAATTCTATAGCATCGTCTGATTGAAAATAAGACAATGCTAATAGTTAGGATTCTATATTGCTTTACAGATTTGTAGCAAAAGGGTGCTAAGTTTTAGTATGGTGGTAACAAAAGCAGCTGCTTGGGCCTTGGCTGCTGTGGCTCAGTTGGTTGGAGAGTTGTCCTTTATACTGAAAGGTTGTGGGTTCGATTTCTGCTCAGTGCACATAGCTAGGTTGCGGGGCACTTACGGAAGGCAACCAATGTTCTCTCTCACATTGATGTTTCTCTCCCCCTCCCCCTCTCTAAACCAATGAGCATGTCCTTGTGTGAGGAATGAAACACACCAAACCTACTTGGGTCAGGTACCCAGGAAAGAATGCTTGTTAAAGCAATGTCACTTCACAATGTGTGTGTGTGTGGTGGGGGGGGGGGGGGGGGAGGGACTGCCATTCCCAAGTGGTCTTATATCTCACGGCTTCATCTTATTTCTCAGCTTCTAGGGCAGTGGTTCTCAACCTTGGCTGCACGTTAGAGTCACCTGGGAATCTTTTTAAAATCAGTGGTTCTCAACCTTGGCTGCACGTTAGAGTCACCTGGGAATCTTTTTAAAATCAGGATTTTAAAGATTCCCAGGTGACTCTAACGTGCAGCCAAGGTTGAGAACCACTGTTCTAGGGGATCTAAGACAACAAATGCAATTTAAAAAGTTAATAGTTGCATTTTGTCCAATTATAAGGCAAAAAGCAGAACTCCCTTTTTCCAAAGTACAACATACTATAAATTATTCATTCATTCACAGTCCCTTCACACTGGGGTTAAAGAATGGCCAGTAACCCCACACCCTCTGTGGAAAGGAAATGGCAAACTATACCAAATTAAGAACGTGATTGTCACTAATGGCCTAGCAGTTAGGGAAAGAGCAAAACTGTCTTTCATAAAAGAAAGCAGGGGTGGTGGCAGCCGGGGGAGATAGGGAAGGTTCCCTAACTTTGTATATAGATAACTTGGTTACAAAGAACAGCTTGGCCTTGAAGGGAGAAGAGGAAATCCTCACAGTGGCACAAGTTGCTAAAGGAGGGTTTGTGGAGGAAGGCTTGTTCCCAGAGAGCCTATATAAATGCCTCTGAATGCAGGTCACACACAGAGGGGTGACTCAGGCCTTTGTCTTTCTTTATGTCAACAAATTTGCAGTTAATTAGGCTCTGGACTTGCTCGGGGAAGCCCAGAATTGGGCTTAAGAATAAAATACATGGAAAAACTGTGAAGCCATGAAAATACATTTTTTTTTAAAAGTTTTCAGGTATAATACACAAAAGCAAAAAAGTTTATCTTTAAAAATATCAAGTATCACATCCATTGTCTAGTCCTAATTATAATTACTTCTTAAAGCAACATTTGTCTTTGTTTACAAATACAGCAGCAGGTGATAAAACCTAACGTCTCAAACACATTGCTTACAGTTCATAATACAAATGTATATGTCTCAAATCACATTCTAGGCAGTTTAACTTAAAATGCATAGACAATTACATACATTAAATTTGTCATTAAGTCAATGAAAAAATAACAATATCAAGAAAAAAATACCTTTATAGAACACAAAGAAATCAAGTTTACTTAATGGCAACAAATCAGTATCCGCTAATCAATGACAGGCAGTGAAAGTGCCTTCATCCAGGGGAAAGTAAGGAGGAAAAACATCCCATTACTTTGCATGCTTGAAAAGTTATACTGACAAAACCATAGTCTTGGAAAACATTAACTTCTTACTTCAAAAAGAAAAAAAAAAGTATAGGCATATGTTGCTCTTTAAAATGCCCTAAGGCTGGTGTATAATTTCCACCAGCAGGAATATCAAAATATGTTGATGTAGGTTAAACTGATAACGGGCACACTAATGAATTCTGTAATGCCACCCCTAGACTGGGACCCTCTCAAGGACAGGCATTCGCTTTCATCTCTATATCTCTGCATCTGGCAAAGCACCTGGATCACAGACATTTAAGTGTCTGCTGGATGAATGCAGTTCTCAGAAATAGTCAAAAGCCAGATTGCATGGCATTTCTTTAATACTGATCATTTTGGCAATTTTTATTTTACTTGGTAGAATTCTGAAAATAAAGTGTCTTCATACTAAATATTGCTCTATTAGGATTAAATTATAGTCTTCCCTGAAAGCCACCTACCACTTTCTAAGTGTGTCAGCATGATTCATCTGAATTGAGCCTTCTGCTTTTCAAAAACGTTAACACTGGAAGGTCTGTGCTCAGGTTTAATTCCCAGGATTTATAGCTGTGGCACTTAAATAAAGCCAGCACTAGATTATTCAAGGTTAAGGAAGACATGGCACTCATCATTTACAAGTGTAGGCAACTGATTGATAGGCAAACTAGGCACAGTATTTTATTGAACCTTTGAGAACTATGTTCACCTACACAAAACTTCAAAAGCTGTACATCCGAGTACAATAGGTAGCACTAATTATTTATGAGGTAAAATATGGGCACAACCGACTTCTTTCCCAGAAAATATTCTAATATTCCATTGTACTGATATGACAGACCAAGGCCAAAAATTCACTCCTTTTCTTCTCTATTCTATTACTGTTATCTACTCAAAACAATAAACAGTAAAATGGACAAAGAAGGGAGGAAGCCCTTGGGTAATTAAAAATGTCTTGTTTTTTCCAGCTAAGAGCCATGGACTGCGGTGATCTCACCAGGCACAAGCTCCTGCGAATACACTTTGAATACACTAAGACATGCAGACAGCATCATGGAGCTGAGCCCCAGAGTGGGCCCAGTGGGGAGCAGCCAACTCAAATGGAAACAGAAGAGACAGAAGCCAGCTCTCATGGGTCCCTGATTGCAGGCAATTTTTCTAGAGAAGAGGAACTGTTTTCCCAGATGTCCAGCTTTACTGAGGCAGTGACTCAGAACAGGGAGCTGGAGGAGAGGACCATGGGAGAGCTCAAGGAGATTAAACAGCAAGGGCCAAGGGGCAGGCTGGCTTGAGCTCTCCAAGATGACGGAGCAGCCAGACTATGATCGGGAAACCTTTGTGAACAAGGCAGAGCCTGTCTTGGCTCAGCAAGCCAAGCACTTCTCAGCCCTGCAGCAAAAAACAGCCTCAGTCACTGCAAATATAGATTGTTTGGTTAAAAAAAAAGTTTTGTCTGTTCCTGCATAATCAATATATAGCTTTAAACAAAACGGCTGAGGTGTCAGAGCTGCAAGCAGCCATCCTCAAGCATGAAAAGGTGTCCGGCCGAGTCCAGCAAAGGCAAGCCAAGATATTAAACTTCTTTAAGGCGCCTTGATTCTTGAAAACTGAATGTGTGAATATAAGGTCCAAAGTTTAATTTTTCGTTGTCATTTTATAGGTTCAACATTTCAAAGTCTAACATTCGAACTCCAGAAACACTATTCTTAAACACATCTCAGCTATCTCCATCAAATTTATTTTAAAATTCTTGCTCTTCAAGTCCAAATGCCAACATATTCCACACTTCACATTCCCTTAAGACTAACAAGTAGTCTTCCATAAACTCATCTTAGCCTAGCATGACTTATTTTTGAAAGCAAATTATTCCTTTGTAAAAAGAAATCTTCCTTAGATGCTTCCCCCACCGAAATGTCTGATTTTCTTTACTCCACCCTGAACCTAAAAATACTTTTTGCCCAGAGTACCTTTGAGAATAGAGAGCCTCTCCCCCAATTTGAGAAATGATTCTCTAAAGAATTGCAAATAGAGAAGCAAATTCTGTTCCCTTTGATTTCCATTTTTCCGTTAAAATTTTTTTTTTTAAAAAATGCTGTTGGAAAGTCTTGTAAAGCAAAGATTAAAATGCAGTATTGTCTAGGGCGCAGTGTGGGTCACTAGCGAAGTTAATATACTTACTGGGAATAGTAATTTCAAATCTTGTGTTCATGGTCTTTCAAATCCTTTAACAAAAGATTTTCTCCAATAATAAACGGGCTCCTCAATTACAGACTCCCAAACTTGCTACCTCTTCTTCTTTTAGTCAAACATCATCCTTTCTAGTGTTACATTAATTATCCCATCTTAAGCCAGAGTTGTCAACTTAGTCCTAGTACAGGACAACCAAAATAAGCTTAAGGAGTGATATATTTGCTGCCATCTTACTTTTCCTCATTTTATGCCTCCAGTTAGCTGACATGAAACTGACTGGATAATTTAAGATAGGACACTTTCTAAGGCTACCTGCCTTGTGAATTGCAGGCTACCTTGACAACAGATACCCAAAGTGTTGTAAATAGCTGCCACTTGGCCTTGCAAGGAGGTGAAAGATAAAAAAGACCATTTGTGCCACTATGTAAGAACTGTCTAACAACATTCACCAGTCTGAAAATATCTAAACAAATTAGTTTCAATTCTGTAAGCTTGAATCTATCTTCTACTTTAAAGGGAGGTTTATACACTGACATTTTCCTCCCAAAGGTGACCATCTTGCTTTTGTAAAAGGAGGTAGCTATCAAATCATTAAATTGGCAGCATTTGGCATTCTTGACATTTTAACTATAAGAAAAATAAACTACTAAATATTTCTAAGCAAAAACAAGAGTTCCAGCATAAATCTGTCTTATACTGATGAAGAAATTAACAATACATTTTAGTAACCCAATGGATATAATAAAAGTTTCAAAGTTATTTCAAGAATAACATGGTCAGTTCTATCCCAAAATTAAGAATCTGATTTAAAGGTGCCAAGAAACTACTCAGACTATTTTGGTGGTTGAAACAACACTTATTTAAGTAATACAATCACACTTCTTTAAACTCAATTGCAGAGATCTACACTTTATTATTTTCAGTGTTAGAGTAAAAGGATAATTTTTAAGGATGGCACTTACTTCTACCTATTTACCTGTCAACAAATACAGAACTGAACTGTTAGCTGTAAGCACTTTACAAACAGATCCAGGAAACTATGCAAGAGACAATGACATAGCTTAACCAGACTCTGACAGATCATATTTTGACCAACTTGTACAAAGAGAACAGTCATGCCTGTGTGACTAAGGTTCTTTAAACATAACTGCTACATGTGTTTATGATAGCCCCTAGAGTGCGCCAGTTTTCCGTATCAGGGAGGAATTAAAGGATGTGCTCCTAAAAAACTGAGGAAGAAGGGGCTATAAGGAAGGGACTGTGTGTAAGAGTGATGTGTGGGAATACAAATTACTTGTCCTTATGAAGCAACGCCTAAGGTTGCCTCTATTGTGAGGTTCAAAACAAAGGAGAATTATTTCCTTCCTTGAGCTCTTCTCAAAGCAATATGGACATCTCAAGCTATTCTAAAGCAACACAGAGATTACCAATGCTTTAAGAGTACAATTTACATACATGCTGGCCTGCATTAAAGAGAAGTTTCCACAAATGGCAGATTTAAGAGCTGTTTGACCCACTTGGTTAAACGTAAGACAAATCAGGTGAAATTCAAAACGAAAGCTTTTACTAAAATTTCAAGAAAAATTAACACTTCCTCATAAACTCAACATCTGATAATAATTACTGCCAGTTTTAAAATGTATATTCAAAACATAACCTCAAGAGGACTATGTTTATTTATTCTATGGATAGAACAGCTCAAGATGTTGAGAGGCATAATTTTTTAAATTATGACAATGAACATTTTTCAAAGTGTGTTCATTTAAGGAAAAAGTGATTATAGAAAAATACTTGAAATAATTTGCCAATGAGGTTGCAGGTTCTAACAATAATCCACACATCATCTTAAATTTTTAAATTCGTAGTTTCATAATTTAAACAAATCCAAAATTTGTTTTAAACAAATTATAACAAAGACCTATTCAATATACTTATTTTCACTTTCCATAAAAACTGAATAAAAATCACATTTGAATGATTTACATTTTTATCTGATTGTATCCATCTGATATATTATACATCCAAGTACAAGAGGCAGATATCTTCTGAGAGGTGCAAGAGTTGTTCTTTCATGAATGCCCTCTAATAGTGAAACCAGCAATTTTTATATATGCATTCATGTGCATATATATGTACTTCAAAAAGCAAAGCGTCATCTCTTCATCCATTAACTTAATGGTAAGACTGCAATAGAAAAAAAAAAGAAAAAAGTAAACTTCTAGATTTTGTAAATGGAGTTTAACTCCTGGCTATGACTTAAACTTATTGCTTAGTAAATCCAAACAGCAAGCCACACCACTTATTTTGGCATACAATTTACAAAAATAATTTTTAAAGCGAATATATAGCAAAAAGTTAAAATAATGAAAAGAAGCTTTGGAGGTACTTAACTAAGATTTTCTTCCTTTACAGCTGAGGTAGATGTTTAGTTAATCTAGTTGGAGACTGATTATTTTGTTAAAGAGTAAATAGATTTTTTCCCCTCAGGGAGAATCCTGACTGTTTGAACACTCACTTAGCTTACTTCATGGGAGAAGTGGGCTGCTTCTCTATATTGTCATATGTCCTAGACAAGCTCCTCAACTAAGATGTCAACAATACTCCAGCTTGGCTGACAGACAGTAAAGCATAAAGCATTACACATAACTGACAATTCAGAACAGTGGTTAGGACCTTGAACTGAATGCTGCTAAGAATCTAACAAAACTTTGGCTAAAAACACACTATGGAAAATTGCACCGAAGACCGGCAATGTTACATATTCACTGCCCTGGATGACCTAAAAATCTACCTAGTAACTGTTTCTTCGGTCTGCTTCTAACAGAATAAAGTTTGTGTATAAATGTTATAGAAAAATAAATATAATGAGCTCTGACCAGGTAGCTCAGTTGGTTAGAGCATCATCCCGATGTACCAAGGTTGTGAGTTTGATCCTGGTTCAGGGCACATACAAGAATCAACCAATGAATGCATAAATAAGTAGAACAACAAACTGATGTTTCTCCCTCTAAAGAAAAAAAAACAAACCAACTCAATATAATGAAACTGTATACTGCTGATTCATCGTCTAAAAAAAGGGGAAGCTGGACTTATTTTGAAGCTTTTGTTAACAATTACACTATTAAAAGGTGAGTACAGCTAAAATAAATATAGTATTGAATGTCAACTACAACCAGAAAAAAAGATCTACCTCTGTATCAAGCCAGCCAGGCAGAGATTGCTATTATTGATTTGTGCTTTGGTGTGATACTATATTATTGAGAAATGTTTTAAAGTCTAATGTAATGCATGTCTCACTTTACCTCAAAAATGCTGTTGAGGACATTACTTACTACATTACAATGACTTTGAGGACCTTTGGAAAATTTTTCTTTTCATTTTTAGTACTGGGAATACCATAACTGTGTTTTTATCTTTTTAAATGCTTTACCTGAAATTTGAAATTTACTCTACACATACTCACCCACCTTTTTAAGAAAGTTTAAAAAGCTTTCTAATCCTCCATCATAAGCTGGAGGCAAGTAGTCTTTTAGTTGTGTGTATGTGACTATTAGTGCACGTTAAATAACAAATTAAACACTCACATGGGGGCCACCAGGCATTGGTGGAGCACCAGAAGGTCCTGAAGGCACTTGAAAAGGATTATTGGGTGTGGGATAGAGTCCTGGTGTGGGATATGATCCTCCAGGGGCAGGATATGGTGCTGGTGGTCCCCAGGCTCCTGGTGGAACAGTGCCCCATGGAACAGGTGGTGCTGCCCCTGGTGCTTGGGGAGGAGGTGGTGTGGGATATGGCCCTGGATATGGCATATTAGGGGTAGGATACTGCCCTCCCATTCCTGGTGCCCAAGGTCCAGAAGACATGGATCCCCATGGACCTAAAGGACCAGCTGGATCGGTGGGGGCACCATATGGTCGCGGAAGCTCTGGAAAGGGCATATTTGGTGTAGGATATGGCCCTGTGGGGCCAGGACCTGGCACAGTTGGGGCTGGATAAGGACCACCAGGCGGGGGGCATGATGGTCCAGACGGAGGAAAGTGTCCCGGGGGTCCTGGAGGTGGTCCAGTGGGAGGCACAGAGGGATACATTCCTGTTGGTGCTGATCCGAAAGGCACAGTGGAGGGTGCTGCACTCGGTGGGAGTCCAGATGGCACAGAAGGTGGAGCGCTTGGGTTATTCCAAGGGTTGGAACCTGGCCAGCTTTGAGGAGGATGGCTAGGTTTTGTATTGCTCACAGCAGAAGTTTTGGCAGGGGAGTGGTCAGGTAGCGCATCTGCCAACTGCAATATAAAAAAGGCATGTCTTACCGATCTTATTTAGGAATAAGTCACGCCAAACATGATTATAAACCTCTATAACATCTTCAAAAGCGAAGCTGTTCAGTTTAAAAACAACTCACTTAATACAAAACTTGAGGGGTTATCCTGAATATCAACTTTGCAGTGCAAAATTCTCAAAGAAGCTCAAGTTTTCTAAATACAACTAATTAATGCACTGTAGATTTGAATCTCGCTTTACCTCAAACAAGTTACATTATTTCTCTGAAAGTTAGCTTCCTCAAAAAATAGTTTTAGGGTTAAACTTGAGGCTTAAATGAGATAATTTATGTAATGCAGTTAACACAGTGGCTGGCATTTAATTTTTAATGAACACTGACTATTATTAATATGAGGTTAAAAGAGAACAGAACACTTAAAAATTCTTTACTTAAGGATTCATATAGAAATACTTCAAAATGTATTTTCAAACGTTATATATAAGTAAATTAAGGCAAATGACCTATCAAAATCACATACCACCATCACCTCTAACCCACCAAAACCCAAGAATCACAGAATTCTTTTAAATGGAAAGAATTATGGCCCACTATTAGGACTATGTTGTTTTCTTAAGAGCTAAAAACTTATAAAGAATAAGTGCATCAACTTACCGAAAATTCATCAGACATTTTCCTAAAAACAAAAACAGAAAGAGAGGAAGAAAAAGAAAGGAAGAAGGAATATTTCAAAACCAGTGCTTACTATTTCTTATATATTCTTTAAGGAAGTTTCTATGCATACATTATTTTTACTTAAATGGAATCTTATTCATTCTTGTAAGGGGTTTTACTTTATATAAAAAAACATTTCAGTAACAATTCATACAGCTCTATCAACTTTATTCCTTTTTACTGCCTGCATATCATACGAGAGTGATCCATAATTTAGCTGACACACTCATGTTGGTGACAGTTTAGGTTTGCTTGCATTTTGTGTTTGAGACAATGACAGGATGAACATGTCCAAATATATATTTTTGCTCACTCATGAGTGAGATCTATCACCAGGAAAAAGTACTAGAAGCAAAATTTCCAGTCAACAGGTAGTTATCTAAATTCCATCTCAAAAGTTTATGCCAATTTTAAAGTCCCTTGCCCATTTACACTGCCTACCTTTCCCTTCTAACTCCTCTTCTCCACTGGATATTAAATTTATAAAAATTGTTTTCAATTATGGTAGACTGAAATTGGCATCTTGCTTTAACTTAGATTTCTTTAAGTTGAAAGTAGAGCATCTTTTAAATTTAATACTTATTTATACTTCTTTTTCTGTAAATCTGCTCATGTCCTTGGACTTTTACCAATTTTTTTTAATTTGAAGTAAGTGAACATTTAATAAAATTCAAGGATCTTTGAAGTGTAAGGCCAATAGTGTCTAAGATACAGAACATTTCCCTTACTTGAGAAGGTTTACTCATGCTCCTTTCCAGTCAACTCCCCTTCTACCCAGCAATCACTTTCTGACTTAGTTTTTGCTTGTTCTTAGACTTCATATAAACAGAGTAAGACAGTATGCAGTCTTTCGCCTTTGATAATTTTACTACTTAGTAGCACACATCTTTTTTTTTTTTTTTAAAAAAAAGCTTTGTAAGATAGTAAGGAAATTAGCTAGCTCTGTCATACATGAGACAAAAAGAATTTATCCCGAGTTCCTTTTATCTGTAGATCCTTTAAATGGTATATTTAGGCACTACAAATATTTTTAATTTCGTGTAGTCAAACTTATCAATTTTTCAACTACATGTGGCTTCTGTCTTATAAAGGCCTTGCCTACTCCAAGTTTTAAAAATGTCACCAGCCCTGGCAGGTGTGGCTCAGTTGGTTGGAGCACTGTCTTGTGCACTGGAAGGTATTGGGTTCAGTCCCCAGGCAGGCACATACCTAAGTTGCAGGTCCCATTCCCGGTCAGGTGTGTATGGGAGGCAATGAATTGAGGTCTCTCTCTCACATTGTTGTTTCTCTCCCCCAACTACTCCCCAAAATATCACCCATGCTTTCTTACTGTATTTTTATAGGTTAACTTGTTTAAACTCTTTTTGTTCTTCCAAACAATTATGGAATAATCTATCTTTTCTCAACTTACTTGACAACCTACCTTTAACACATTCTACTATTATTAAAAACTAATTAACCCTGGTCAGGTAACTCAATTGGTTAGAACATCATCCCGATATTCCAAGGTTGTGGGTTCAATCCCTTGTGAGAGCACATACAAGAACCAACCAATCCTGTATAATACAGGTAATATGCAAATTAACCCTCACACCCTCACAAGATGGCTGCCTACAACCAGGCCGGCAGGGGGGATTAGTGAGGGATGATCAAATAACTGAACAGCAGGCTGTGTGGGGCGACCAGGCTGGCAGGGGGTGCAGTTGGGGGCGATTAGGCTGGCGGGGGCAGTTAGGAGTGACCAGGCCAGCAGGGAGGGGGCAGCTAGGGGCGATCAGGCCAGCACAAAGAGGCAGTGAGAGGCGATCAGGCTGGCAGGCAGGCTGGCAGGGGAGCGATTAGGAGCTAGTGGTCCAGGATGCCAGTCGGACATCCCCCTAGGGGTCCCAGATTGGAGAGGTTGCAGGCTGGGCTGAGGGGACCCCCCACCCACTCCCTGTGCATGAATTTAATGCACCGGGCTCCAGTGAATGCATAAATAAATGAAACAACATATCAATGTCCCCCCTTCTCTCTCTCTCTAAAATGAATCAATAAAAAAACCACCAATGTTTATTGAACATCCAAGGAACAGACACCACACTAAGTGCATAATCTCATTTAATAGCCTAAGAGCCCCACAAATGCAAATCCTATTACCACCCCATTTACAGCTGAAGAAAAGGAGGCTTATCAAGTTAACTTACTTCAGGTCACAGAGCTAGTGACCAGTAAGAGAAGGGGTTCAAACCCAGGTACAGTCTGATTCCAGAACCAAGCCTCATTACCAACAGGCCTCCATCATTTCCCACAGGTATTGTGGACTCTATTCTTTTCTACTTATCTGCATCATAAAATTCTATCTTAATTATGGAAGCTTTAATTTTTAATACATTTTAATGTCAGTTGCCCTACTGTTACTATTCTTTTTTCTAAATTTTCCTAAATATTTTCATATTTACATTTCCCTGGTCATTTTGTAAAAAAAAATTCTGTAAAGTATGTTGGGTGCTCTGGTTGGAACTGCATTAAATTTACGGATTACTTCAGGGGACACTGATATATTTAAAATATCAGATCTTCTCATTCAAGAACAAGGTATGCTTTCCTAGTTTCCATAACTGTCATTTATCATCACTCAGTTTTAAAAAATGTCTCCTACACATTTCTTGAGAGATAAATTTCTAACTAGTAAACTTTTTCTTGTGGTTGTAAAACTGGCTTTTATTTCACTTTATTTTCTAACTGGTTGTTCATACACGGGAAAGGCTTTTTAAAATTTTAGTGTATTATTTTTGTAAGTAGCGAATTACTGAATTATTTTATTCTTCAAAGTTTCTCAGTTAATTACCTGGATTTCCAGATAGAGAATTATGGTATTTGCAAAAAACAATTTTACCTTCTCTTTTCCATATTTATAGCTCTTTTCTCTTTTGCATCAACTAGGTCTTAAAACAAAGAAATGTTAAATAGTGAGAGTAAGCACTTAAGTTTTGTTCCCAAATCTCCTGGGACTGCTTCTAATGTTTTAAATTAATTCTCATTTTTAGTTTGAGATTAACTAAATTAATTAATTTTTAGTTTGAAATTTAAAAGATCTTTTGGCATCTAATAAGTTGATCTTATTTTTTCCCTGACCCAATCAACAGTTTATATACACACACACACACACACACACACACACACACACACATATATATATATTTTATACATATATTTTGCTTAATATTGAGCCATCCTTGAATTCTTAAGTTTCATTAAGTATGGTTTGGTTCTCATAAGGAATGAAGAAACAGAACATGAGGCCTACTAATTCACAACTGCTATAAACTTGCGTTTTGTTCAGAATATGAAAACACACACCTTGAATGTATAGCAAATATAATTATCCATTCATTCCTAAGTTACGGTTTGTTTTACACTAAAAGTCACTTGCACAATAGTAAATTCCTAGTACTAACACCTGAAGAAACTTTTATCAGTGAATGACAAGTTTAAAGTCCACATAAGACTAACATGCTTTTCAAACAGGGTAAGCCTTGCCGAAACAGAAAATGTTTCTGTATCAAAGTTCACATTAATTTTGGAGCAGAGAACTAACAAAGCAACCAATTCAATTTCATATGTTCTTGCTGTTCAGATTTTTAGAATTATTCTTTTCCCTTTTAGATTTTGAAAAACATATATACATAATATAAGTTACCCCATAAATAGACTCACAATTCTGTCTTTCAAAATTTTAAATCAAAATCAAATTCTGGAAGACAGAGGAAGCACTAGAATCATATCATTAAAATAATGAAATTCTGACCAAAGTAATCGGAAATAGGTCATTTTCTGTTCTACATCACTGCACAGGAAAAAGTGACCTGCTCTCCCATACCTAAAATGAACAGTGTTCATATTAATTGAAATATTCCAATTTACATTCTGGGGAATACTTTCATTATAAAAAGGTAAAAAAAAAAAAATCAGCAGGACATCAGTGTCTCAACATGAGAAGTGTTGTAGAAAGTTAAAAAATTTAAATTTTTCTGAACAACTATTCCAAAACATCTGGATTATGCTAATTAAGATGAGGCCAATGTGACCTTAAAATGGCAAAAAGGAAAAAAAAGGTTTATAATCAAGAAAGATTTTCATTTTTTCCTCCTTCTTGGAATAATCTAAAGCTATTTCCTCCAAAACTTTCACTATCACTTTATGGCAAGATCTATACTATACATCAACTGAAAAAGAATCATTTTATTTTACGAGCAGCAAGAATAGTGATTTTAAAATAGAGTACGAAATGTCTTTTAACATACACTAGAAAAGTAAAAACATTTCTGTAATTTCTCTGGCATTTCGGGTAAAAAAAGGTAATTCAATCACAGGAAGGTTTAAGGAAGTTGAACTCCACAAACTGCTGTTGACTACCGGGCAAGAAATATTTCAAAAGGCCACCAAATTGTGGTGGAGAAAAACAGTATGGGACTACTCAGTTATAAAAACGGGACACCAATCCTTGAATTTATTTTAAAGAAGTTGCTTATCCTTTTTTTTTGAAATTGATTTTAGAGAGGAAGGAAGGGGAAAGAGGGGGAGGGAGAGAGAGAGGGAAACATTAATCTGTTACCTCCAGCAGGCAACCAGACCAGATCTAACCTGCAACGTAGGCATGTGCCCTGACCGGAACCGAACCCACTACCCTCTGGTGCATGGCAGGATGCTCCAACTAACCAAGCCACACCCACCAGGACTGGACATCAATCCTTTTAATTCAATCTTTTGACAAAGGCAAGCTTAATCAGAATCCATGTTTTCATCTGCGAAAGTTATTTCCACCGCTTCACAGATAATTATCAGTAACATTTAATAATCAGTAACATGTAAGATGTTTATTAAAATGTTCTTCCTGTCAAGAGAAATGAGGACTTATGGTATGATTTGTTTAGTGGGGGGGGGGGGGGGGGGGAGGGGGGGGGTGATAGTAATATGTTGTATTGAATATATAAATTTTGACTTAAAATATATGAGTTTTTAGTATTAGCTCTTTTAGCTATCCTACATTTGGGCAACTCAAGAAATTGGGAATTTGGAAGTTTTGGAACATTTTAAACTTCTTTAAAACATAATTTTAAAACGTCATTTTCCCAACAACCTCCTGTCAGCCATATTGTCTATATTCAGCTACTTCTTGGAACATATGTGCTAGGCTTTGGGGAAATGAATAGTACTGGATGAAATAAATGCTTCAGTTCAGTCTGGCGCTTAAACATTACTTGGGGTAAGCACAAGGCACTAAGGGGGTACTTCAAAGAGCTCCTAAAGGGAGGGAGGAAGGGAAGACCTGGGGAGTGCCTCTGCGTCTGAAAGAACCATGAACAGGGGATGGTGGGACAGGCCTTAGGGAAAGGAGAGCAGTTTTGCAAAGACAGAGAGAGGGATGTAAAGAAGGATCCGTGGGTAGTGTTAGCAGGTCCGATGGGCTGGAATACAGAATACAGAAAGGGGGGGAGGATATGAAAGTCTTAGCAGAGGGCCTTTAGACCAAGGTTTGACTGAGTGTTTGACAGTCAGTGTCCACTTACTTGAATGAATGAACCTCAGATTCTTCAACTGTAAAGAACCGGCTAGTAATGCGAGAGACTAAATGGGACTCATAAATCAAGTGCCTATAATAGTGCTAGAAAAATATTGGGTGGCAACAGATATATTCTTTTGTCTTCCTTTGCATACAGACATATAGCATATGGTTAAAAGAGTAAATGCTAAAAGCATGACTGACTAGGTAAAACACGGCTCTTCATTGGCTGGCTCTGAGCAAGACCAACTCTCCAAATCTCAGAAGGAAAAGGAGGCCAGAACAGTATCCACCTTGCAGATTTGCAAACTAACCGCTGGGGCACTGGCTGGCGTATAGCAAACACTCCCCCAGTGTTACCTTTTACAATCGCTATGCTCGATCTACAGTTCTCAACTCAGAAACCTCTGAAATGCAAAGAGATGCCTCTCAAGTTCAGCATAAAACTTACTTGGTGGTAAAACCTGACCTGAGGCTATTTCTAGTTCCCATGAGTTCACACCTGTGGCTGCTGCACAAATATTAGCGTTGGATTAGATTAGGGGCTGCTGCCTCAACACCACTGGGGGTGTTATGTCCATGCACTTCATCGTGTTTCCAAAACCTACAGATAAAGTTAAAATATTTCTCGGCTTCAGAACACACTGGGCCCAGGCTGTCGGCTGAGAGATGGGTCTCTTCCTCCAGGAGAGAGGAGAACACGCCGGCATTCGCAGCTCCAATCGGGTTTCCGAGGCAAACTCCCTCTGAGTAGGAGGGTCGCAGACGCCAGCGGCCAGAAAAAAAAGATTGTTTTTCCTGCGCAACGACCACGACTGGACAAAGAACTTCTGAAAGATTTCTGAAGACAATTTCGCCTAAAATAGGGGTTCCTTTTCCAAACAGGCCTTTAAGGTCACCCGGTGTGCGAGTATTTCTTTAGCGGTAATGCCGTACCATTTTTTCCCCGGTCTGGTGAGTATGGTTTGATGCTTCGACATTAGAATTCTTATTTATGAAAAGCACTACTGTTGGTTCTCAAAAAGGAAAATGGTGCCGCTATTTATAAGCTACCATGCCTAATAAGCGCTCTTAAATCCTAAAAAGCAAAACTAATTATACAACTAATGGGCATTAAATAGCATGTATTTGCTGGCAACTCCTCTAGTGAGGAAGGCCGGGACGCGGTCGCACGGCGGGTACTCCTAAGCAAGGGTCAGAGATTCCTCCAAGAGCCTATGCAGGCCCAGGTCTCCCCTTTATTATTAGGAATTAAATGAATGGGGGGGGGGGGCAGGGGCGCGCGGCCGGCGGCCCCGTAGGGCCACAGGAACAAAGGGCGCCCGGATAACCGGAGCGAACCGGCCTGAGAGCGGGTCGCGCCGCCCGGCGCGGCGTGGGGGAAGGGCCGCCCGCTCCCGCCCCGCCCCCACAGGCCAGGCCTGACGTCAAGCGCGGAGACACCCGTCGGGCGCGACCTCCCGTCTCCGACGCCTCCCCCGGGGCCCCAAGGAAGACGCCTGGAAAAGTACGCTTAGCCCCGGAAGAGCGACTCCGGCACCTCCGGCACCTCCGTCACCGCGCTCGCCTCCCGCCTCCCGCTAGGGCGCGTTCCCTCGCCCCCTCCCCGACCCCTGTTAGCGCCGAAGCAGCCTCACCCGGCAGATCCGAGCCCGCAGCAAGGTCGAGGCGCAGCGGTGGGCCCGAGGACACCGAGAGCTGAGGAACCAGGCGCAGCCTTGACTCACAGCAGCGGCGACCACGACACCAGCGGCGGAAGCACCAGCACCAGCAGCAGCGGCAGCACCAACAGCGCGCGGCTCCTCCTGACGCCGGAACAGGAAGCACCAGCGCCGCGCGCCCCGCCCCTGCGGGCGCCCCTCCCTCCCCTCGGGCGGGCCCGCGCGCGCCCCCGCAGGCCCTCGGCGGCACTGCGGCCCGGCCGGGCCCTCTGGCGCGGCGGCTCCCCGCGCTCGCTCCCGGGCGGTCGGCTCTTTTCTCCCGGGAACGGCTGGAAAGCTCCTCAGTTTCCGGAGTTCCGAGCACTCAGAGGAAACGACCGTGGCTAGTGACGTCCGGGCGGCCCGGCGGAAATTGCTCAATTGCTCCAGGAATGGCTCACGGGCAGGTTCTAGATTCCATCTACGCTGGGCGGTTTTTACAGCCCAGGAAGCGCGCTATGCGGCCCAACTGGGGGGCGCGAACCTTCAGGCCAAAACGCGAGAGCTAAAGGGACAATACCGGAATCTGCTGGCTAGTCATGATGCCATAATTCCATGTGCAAACTAGGTACATATATTTTACATGGGAAAGGATGCTATATTCGTATAACGGTTTGCGTCCTTGTGTAAGCTGTTAAGTTGGGTCAATGGATGGACATTTTACTATAAACCTTAATTGATTGGTTTTAGAGAAACATCCATTTGTTGTTCCACTTATTTACGCATTCATGGCTTGATTTTTGTATGTGCTCTGACCAGGGATCCAACCTATAACCTTGGCATAGCTGGAGGATGCTCCAATCAGTAGAACTACCTGCCCAGGGCTACTATAAACTTCTTAAACAAAGATTTATCTCCAGATATGTGGCACTGCACGCATAATTCTCATACCAATAAATGAACTATAGAGGAACTTCAAATACCTAAGCCTGGGAAGGCAGATTTTTGGATAAGGGCAGTGGTCTATGAAGAATGATACCATTTGCCCTAACCGGTTTGGCTCAGTGGATAGAGCCTCGGCCTGCGGACTGAAGGGTCCCAGGTTCGATTCCCATCAAGGGCATGTACCTTGGTTGTGGGCACATCCCCAGTAGGGGGTGTCCAAGAGGCAGCTGATCGATGTTTCTATCCCTGTCCCTTCCTCTCTGTAAAAAAAATATTAAAAAAAAAATGACACCATTAGTGTGAACGACCTAACCTGCCCTCATTGAAGGAGTGAAACAGCAGTCTTGTGGAGCCTAAGGAAGCCTGAAGCAATAATATAAAGTCTGTGGAAAGTGTTATCTTTAAAATTTTGTTTTATTCATGGTAGGCTCTTACAACCTTTGCTTGGAAACTAAATCGCCATCTAGTTATTTTAGAACTGTCCTAACTCTGCTCACCCAATCCAATCCTTCCATTTCTTTCATAGATGCCAGACCTATAATTTGCTATGAAGATTTCATCTCCCTTCAGTTTTATCCTTCATAGGTATTGCCCCACCCCGATAAATCTCTTGCACATTTAATCATATCGTGACATCCGACTTTGGAAGACCCAAACTGACACACCACAGACTGAAAGGAATGTATTATAAATTAGAAAATGTGTAAGAATATAGATTATAAAATTTCTTTTTCAGATTCTTAGTTTAATGTACGATGTAAGGACAATGTTTTAAAAGCAAAATACAAAGCCTTTGGATTTTATATATGAAGTTTTAATTAAGAAGAAACAAAAATTTATTCAAATCAATTTATTTGAAATCACATCCAAGAAGAAATCAACTTCAGGATTTGAAATAAAAATGGCAACAGTCTCCTTTTTGGATAAGGGGTGAATCATACAACCCTGATTGACAAGGGCACTAATAGCTTTGTGAAGTTACTACTTAAACTCTGTATATTCAAGTATATATCAAGTTCATACTTGGTTTATACAGAATTTGTCCAATTCTAGCAAAGTTAGCATACTGTAAGTAACCTTCCTTGAGTTTTACACTCTCTCAAGTCTGAAAGCTCAGATTTTATTATAACCACTGCAAAATGATTACAGGCATACCTTGGAGATATTGCAGGTTCAATTCCAGACTACTGCAATAAAATGAATATCGAAATGAAACAAAGGGGTTCCCAGTCATATAAAAGTTATGTTTACACTATATTGTATTAAGTGTACAATAGCATTAGGTCTAAAAAGTATATACCTTAATTAAAATATATTCTATTACTAGAAATGCTAACCATCAGCTGAGATTTGACAAAGATCACTGATCACAGATCACAACAAATACAATAATGAAAGTTTGAAATATTGAATTACCAAGATGTGATACACGAAATAAGCAAATACTGCTAGAAAAAAGATGCCAATAGACTTGCTTGACACAAGACTGTCACAAACCTTCAATTAAAAACCCCCCAAATCTGCAAAATGTAATAAAGCGAAGCACAATAAAATAAGGTATGCCTGTATCTTTACTTCCTGCAAATGTAATCAACTTTTAAAATAACTTGGGCAAACATCAATTTTACATAAACCTTAATTGCAAGTCTTCATCTAATTGCAGAATCTACACCATCAATTCAAAATGTATTATGTCTATTGTTATATCAAGCCAAGAAAATCTATTACAGACCAAGAGTGAATGTGAATCTGCAGGGTCCACTAAGGGGATACTCTGAAAATCTATTAACACATTAGCACTTAACAGCTGTACAGAAATTATTTTCAAGTATGCTCCAACGGTCACCTCTTTAACTGAACAATTCAGAAGTCAAGTGACAAGTATTATCTACATTTTATATGCCAGGAAATGAAGGCAAAGGAAGATTTAGGATTGAGTAATCTATTGAAAATTAAAAAAAAAATTGTCTTTATTTGAAATCAGATTAATGTGCACCAAATCCCTTTCCATTGGGTTATACCCATTAGAAACCAATGCATTATCAAAAAGTTACCTCCATTTTGTGCCCAATATCTTAATTTGTTAGAATAGTATAGACAGATTCTTGTAGTGTTGCTCATTTCTAGCAGGTCATTAAAAAAGTAAACCCTTTGCCCTAGCTAGTTTGGCTCAGTGGATAGAGCATTAGCCTGAGGACTGAAGGGTCCCTGGTTCAATTCCAGTCAAGAACATATGTCCAGGTTGCAGGCTGGGTCCCCAGTAGGGGGCGTGCAGGAGGAAGCCGATCAATGATTCTCATCATTGATGTTTCTCTCTCTCCCTCTCCCTCTCCCTTCATCTCTGAAGTCAATAAAAAAATATATTTTAAAAAAGTAAACCCTTTGTGCTTTCCGTTCATTCTTTAGAAATAAAAATGATTGTAAAACTGGTTATAAAACCAAAATTATAAAGATTTTTTTCCAAAGTAGAAATAATTTGCTTAAAATCTTTTATTCATTTGGGCACTATTTTAACACAGGCTATTTTAAATTTCAGCATTGTTTTCTTTGTGTTGTCTCCAGGAATCTTATAAGTCTACTTTCCGATAAAATTTGGTCTACCAAAATCAATACATAACTGATTTGACTAATTATAGCTTAAAATGACAATATATTTTAAATGAAAACTAAGCATATTATTCATGAGTTAGGTCTCAAGGTTTTGGTTTCAAAGGAAGGAAGCTCTCTACTATGTGGATCTATAAAATGATCCAAACTTCAGAGACAGGAAGCTGATAACTTGATTTATCTTAATGGCTTTGGTTCTTGAATAAATGATAACAGTTTGTTCTTCTTATAAAAAGAAATGGAGCCCGGCCGGCATGGCTCAGTACTTGAGTGTAGACCTATGAACCAGGAGGTCACGGTTTGATTCCTAATAGGGGCACATGCCCGGGTTGCGTGCTTGATCCCATGTGGGGTGTGCAGGAGGCAACTGATCAATGACTCTCTCACCATTGATGTTTCTCTCTCCCTTCCACTCTGAAATCAATAAAAATATATTTTTAAAAAAGACTTAAAAAATGGAATTTATATAATGAGTCCTAATTGCCACATTTGTTCTACTTCTTAAAGGATTTCTAATTTCTAAGGCATTCTTTTATTATTATTTATAAGAAGTCAAAACTAACTGAAAGCCATTCTTTGACCACAATTTGCCATCAGCTGAAATTCAGGAAAGAATACAGGACTGATTACCAAATCAATAAATCTAGCCACAGGCTGACTAAAAGCTTCCTTTAATCTTCTTCCTGTTAAGTCTTCCTTTAAATTAAACCATTCCCATTGTGAATTACTTAAGTGAATGGTATGGTTATAAAAAGATCACACATGATTCTTCATACAAAAATACTCAAGAAACCTAAAAAAATCCATCACCATATTTTTGGAATTATAGTATGAACCAAGATGCTACAGCTTAAAGGGGAGTGGGTTAATGTCCTGAAAAGCTTCAGAGAGAAATAGAAAAGTCAAGTTTATTTCCTGATTTGTGCAGGATGATTCCCAAAGTGCAGTTAAGTGTGTGGTCCAGGCTAGCTATTAGCGATTAAGTAGTTCCCTTTCACTGTCAAGGCTTTTCCCTGAGGTAATGCCTAAATTCTTAAGTTTAATATTTTATCTTGTTTCTTTTAACCTCATCTTCTTTTAACAATAAGCGCTACACATTTCCACCATGATGGTTTCTCAACTCTAGAATTTACTTTTCAAATTGTCACAATGTCTTAGAGTTACAAAATTTGTATTTATTGGTATCTTCCCACATTGTTCCTCTCAAAACGTAACTCATTTTACTTATATATTCCATAATTGCATTTTAACATGAGTTTGTTTCTGAATATTGGATGCTCTTCCAAATATGTCCTCACAAAGAAACTGAGAAAGGGGTTTCCCTTTCTAAATTCAGGCCTCTTAAATTCATTTAAAAATTAAATTTATTATTACTCTTTTCATTTTCTTTTATGGTAAACAGTTTCCTTCCCAAGTATTTATATTTCTACTAGAGGCCTGGTGCATGAATTCATGCACAGGTGGGGTCCCTCAGCCTGGCCAGCCATCAGGGCTGATGGGGGGGCCAGCTGGGGGAGGGACCACGGGAGGTTGGCTGGGGGTGGGGAGGGAATGCGGGAGGTTGGCTGTAGGAGCGCACTGACCACCAAGGGGCAGCACCTGTGTTGAGCATCTGCCCCTGGTGGTCAATGCGTGTCATAGCAACTAGTCAACCAGTCGTTCAGTTGCTTAGGCTTTTATATGTATAGATTTTCCAGGTTTCTTTTAACTGTAGCAAATATCAAAGAAAAATACAAACCATTTCAGAGTAAATGAGTCTGTTTCCTGCTCTCATTTATTAGATCATCTACTTCAAGGCTATATATATGGCAGTATAACAGCTATTAATACCTTGAAATTGAGAAAGCCAAAGAAAATATATCACAGTTTGACTATATGAAAAGCTACTTAGATTTTTGATTTTATATAAACACCAATTTTTACCATTATAAAAGACAACATAATTATGCTTCATTTTTCTTTATAAAATTACCTTTTAACAGAATATTTGTTTTTGTCATCCCTTAGGTTTTTCTGTACTGATAAAAATTATTTTTAAAGAAAAATATTTAAAATAATTGTTTCATAGAAACAGAAAGTCTCATTATCAAATTCTGATAAAAAATTATAATCATGGGTAGAGTCTTACCATACTATTAATTTTCTTTCACCAAAGATGAGTATTTAGGAATTGTAATATTGGTAAATAAGATAAGCTTCTCAGGGAACTACAAAAGTGCCACAATAAAGATGAGGTAGTATGAGACTTTTCTTTTGTAAAAGGAAAACAGCATCTTTATAAGAGATATTTATCCTGACATTGGTGTTGAAATCCTGAGCCTCATCTGCTAAGAGAGGTGCTATTCTAATAGCTACCCTTCACTGGAACCAGGACAATCTTGAGATCACCGAGAAAAAAGAATGGTAGAAGATAATGGGAACAGATTTTCTTGGTTTAATTTTGTGGTAATTGCTAGAAATTTATTTTAACACTATTATTGAAAAATGCTATATTTATATTAGCAGCAGAGCTGCAGGAAATAGAAATGATACTTCAACATAAAAGCAATGGTATTTAAGAAACATTTATTATAACTAAATTTTAGTAAAAATTTTTTCAACCCAGGTAGAAAGTTTCCTATTAGAGCTAAACCAGCATCAAGAAATTAATTACTATATGTCAACAGGTCATCAGAAGAAACAGTTGTCTAGAAGATTTATTATTCACTGATTCTTTTAAAAAGAGTGGATAGATAGGATATCACTTCATTTATCTTACATAGGGAAAATGGTGTTTCTAAAAATGCTTTCCTGTTCTTGGGAAAGTAAATTTAAAATATTACACCTATTGCCTAGTACTGTTCAGTATGGCCTAAGCCATGTAGCTCTCAAAATGTTTTCCTTTTTTTGAAGTTACAATAAAGACATGTTAATTCTGAAGATAGGAATAATTATTTGAAAATTGAAGATTAAAAACAATATTAAGCTTTCTGAATACTAAGCTCTATGTTCACTTCTTGAATCTTTATTCAAGTTCAATTTAAAATAATGAAAACTTATTTAGGGAACAATGAAAATGCATGGCTGTTTATAAACTGTAGCATCTCCCCAAGTAACAGGCTGAGTTTCTATAAAAGAGCTAAGTAGAAGCAACAGTTCATAAGTAAATACAGAAAAAAAACCCCCACAATTGTTTTTAGAACTTTAGTAACTACTAGTTACTAACAGTGTTATCATTATTTTTAAAGCTCCCAGTGAGAAAGGAACAATATTTATGTTCCAGGTTTTAAGAGAGACCTATTCAAGGATTAACAAATGACCATGCCACATTGTAGAATACATTCATCTCCAAAAATGTTATGTTCTCATTTGATTCTTACTGATGAGATGAATCAAATTTAGTAATCCTGCTTTAGTTAATATTTAAAATACTGTAAAAACACATCAAGTTGGATTTTAAGCTATGTTGTTACCTTTAACATCCCTATTAGTAAATTACGAGTCAATTACATTAGTGTAGATTGTAAATTACAACACTCAGCTTTACTGAAGAATTTGAAAACAACTCTGGAAAGGGAGACGGGGAAACCGTATTTTATGTATAGGAATGCCAATGGCATAAGTTAACAAAGCATTTTACATCTAAGAAAGGACATAGGATTATTTTTAAAGAAAATAATGAAATACAAATTATTAACTGTGTTTACAATGTTTACCAATTTTCAAATATCCCTGGATCATATGCAAATTACAATTAAGAAAAGAAAAAAAGTTAAGTATATACTCTATAGAATAAAAACAAAAACCACTTGGTCAAAAATACCCATTAACCCTTAGTGTGTAACTTTAAACAATTAGTGTATTGTAAGAAAAATAAACAGATCTGGAAGCAAAATTTAGGGCAGAGGTTTATTTCAGACTCTTAACTGCCCTTGTAGAAAAACTCAAAGTAGCATTAAGAAAAATAAGGTATTAAATTCCCATGTTCCTACCCTCTACCTAGCATTGTTGTTTTGGTGCATCAATCCTGAGTACTCTAACTTTTGATTTATAGTGATATTCCTTCAGATATAATTTCATAGAAGAAGGAATTGGAAGGGCATCAATGCCATCATAAGTTGTACAGTTACAAATAACTGTTCTGCATATATGCTGTAGGGTGAAGGGGAAAGTCCGAATTAAGGGAGTGGATAAAAGTGGTTCAAAGAACATACAGGCACTTGGGTCCTTATAATGTTCTAGGAGCCCAGTAATATCAGGAGAATGGAAGACACAAGGATCATGTGCATCAAAGCTAAAGTTGTGATTCCACTGTTCAATCCTAGCATGAAGAGAACGACTATAGCGTCTGAAACTAACAGAGAATAAATAGTCTTCCTGTGCTGAGTCTCGAAGTAAAAAGGTACCCTCTGGTTTTCCTTCTAGGAGAGCTTCAGCTGCATACTTATCCATAACTCCCCAGTAACATGGATTGTTATTGATCTGAAGGAGGTCTGGTACAAGACAGTGGACATAATCAATCTGGGTGTGGTACTTAGGAGTTGTTCCCGACTGAAGGATTTCTTCATCCATTTCCCATTTGGGTTTGTTTCTTTTCCTGGAACTTGTGCAAAGTGTTATAATTTCATCATCTGAATCCATATCACTATCTTCTATACAATTATTTGAAACCAGGTTCATCAAAGAGCCAGCCATAGGACCACCTCTACATGAAGCATTGTTGGTGGTTATAACACAGGGCTGAACATTGGCATGTGAGAAACAGTTCACCTCTTCTTCCATGTTTCTTCTTTGTTTTAGTTGACCATCTCTCAATTCACTCTGAGACAAATCTGTGCTTATCAATTCATCTGGTTTGGGGTTTATAGGAGCAGTGTGTCGTTTAATAAAATGCCACCTAAAGGCTAAATCTGATCGAGGTGGGAAAGGACACTTATCTAACATGAGTTCACTGATATGAATTTTTCTTTTAGATGGAAGCCCCGAAGAGTGCCGACTACTACAATTCTTTATTGGGAAGCACTGCCCCACAGCATCTTGCAGTTTCTGTTTAAGAGATCGGCCTAAAAATCTATGCCCACAAGAATGATCTAAATCCAACTCGATGGATGAACAGCTGTGCTTTCTTTCTTGGCTCTGTAAAGGAACTTCAGTTTTCTCTATAACATTTACTGTTTCAGCATCTGAAAAACTTTCACTCTTTTTTGACCAAGATAACTTCTTTCCACTCCACACATAACCATCCTTTCTGTCAGCACTTCTACTCCGACTAGTTTTGGGTCTGACATCTACATCTTTACTATTACTTTCACTATTTTCTGCCATTTTAATAAGTTACCCAAAAATTCCAGTGTTATAAATACTGCTTTTTTAGTTTTTCTGGCAGGAAGTTTCTTCTGAGCACTTTCTGGATGTACCTAAGGGGAGAAAAAAAATCATTAATCATTTGTCATTCACATTAAATAGTTTACATCTTAAGACCCAATTAGACCCAAGATGAAAAAGCATAATTAGTACATGAAAAAGATGTCAAGCCTCCTGTTAGCCAAAACATATGCTCAAAATGCAAATAATTTCTAGTCTTGAGGTACATCTTATGACAATCTCTTTTTCCCTTATAGTTTTTATTTCACAGCAGACCAGTGAATAGGTTGTAAGAGACACTGAGAAATCTGTGAGCTGGTGTTTGAAGTCCACTACCCTATATAGTTTCTTCACTTCACTCCCCTTGTTTTTATTCCTATTTATTGAAAATATGAAGTTTTAAGTTACAAAGAACTTACGAAATAATCACCACTGAACAGTACAAATGCCACATAGCATTCCCAATGCAGTTGTTTGTTGTTGTTGTTTTTGGGGGAGTTTCCAATTTTTATTTGCAAAAGACACAAATAATAGCCATCATGTTTCAGATCACTCTGAGATACCAGTGTTATCAAATTCCAGCACCCCCCAAAATATTTTTTTAGCTATTTTTCTCATGGGAAATGTAGAATATCCACTGAAGTTTTGAAATGCTAAAAAAACAAAAACAAAAACAAAAAAACCAAAAGAAAAAAAAAAAAAGGAAGGGAGTTAGGAAGAAAAAGAGGGAGGGAAGAAAAGAAAAAGTAGAAAAGAAAAAAAGGAAGAAACTAAGGGAGGGAGAGAGGAAGAGAAGGAGGAAGTCTGACACCTATTATGACTTCCCAGTTTCCTTGGGATTCAGAGGCCCTGGTTTTAAGAAACACCTATTTAAGTCAGAGGAGTCTAAGTATCTTCTTAGAGTAAGATAGTTATTTTCCTTTTCAAAGAAGGACATGCATATGTCCTTCTACAGAGCTTCTTAATCTATCCTTCTGATGGAAAAGGATTAAATATGTGCTGAAGAAATCTTCTAGCTCAGGCAAGCTCCTAACCACAGTCTTGGCCAAAGATGAATTTCTTTGGAGTTGGAGTGGTGGTATTTGGCATCAGTTGAATTTCAGTGTCTATCCACATTTTGGTGCCACAAGCTTTCAGGGAGGAGGTATCAGGCCAACTTGAGGCAAAATGAAGTTAATCACTATTCACCTTGACAAGGCTGTAATCTGCTTGAAGCCAGGGACTCTATATTCTATGTCATTTTTTTCTCGGATATCACTACAGAAGCTGGCACACAGTATAAATGGATTGACGATAATGTATTAAAAACCATGAAGTACTATAAACCACCTAATGAAAAAAACACATCAAATCAAGGTACCTATGGAAATGGGCAATGTACCATACACCCATTTACTAGTAGATGATTCATGTTTAATGTTCAAGTAAAGACTTTCACAACTGACAAAACTCTGATAATCTCAATGCAGTTTGGTCAGCTGATTTCAATAATTGGTCAACTTCACTATCAATCTAGGTAGTTTTTGGAAAATACAGAATTGGACAAAAATTTGGTATTTCACACACACACACACACACACACACACACACACACTTGTATTCTTCTTGATAATTTTGACAAACAAGCAGATAAATTTCTATGGGGCAATGCCTTTACTATGAAATTGGCTAGATATACTAAAATTTACAATGTAAAATATTGAATTTTATTAAGACTAATGCTAATGATTGGCCATAGATGAAATTTACTTAGTTATTCTTAGGTGGAATAAGATTTAAGTCCAGAATTGGAGGGAAGGGTTCTATAATTTCAAATGTTTTGAAATTAGAGTTGAATTTTGTGACTAAGAAAATCACATTCAACATTCTAATTATGATTAAGTTTCTGATTATGTCAGAGGAACATCAATAATCCCAGCAGTTAAGTAAATGTTTAGAGCCACTTGAATCCTTTTAAAGCAGTAGGGTTTGAACCAAGCATCTGCAGTGGCAAATGATTGTCACACGCTTAAAGTGTGAACTGATGACACAGATTTGGTATATAAAGTACTGCATTTCTAAACACTGAATAGCATCTAGTATTATACTTACTGTTTTGATTTAGTAAACTCATGGATATATAATCATTTAAAGTCCATAGGGGAAAATATTTAAAATCTAATTTTGAAAGAAACATCATCACTTACATCACAATCACCAAAATTACACTCAACAGTATGCTTTGGCTGTTCACAGACTAAATTCCACTAAACAAAAATAAACACGCAGAAGCAACAAAGAAAACTGAAGAAAATGAAGCCACTGATTAGAAGAGACACTTCTGTTACTGCCTAAGAGCTTACACTTTAATATATTTTTTAAGATAAAAAATAATAAAAAGAGTGCCATACAGATTTTTTTATTAATATTACATAATTTCAAATTTTTAACTCAGCACAAGAATGTGGAAAACTTATCATTTAAGGTTTGAAATGCTTTTCTTTTTTTTTTTTTACTTACTAAAAAAGTACTAAAATAGCAGTTTATTAAGTAGATGACCATCTCTATTCCATTGGGTGTGAGTTCTATCTTGCCCCCTTGCTACCTCAAAATTGTGTCAGTTCTACATCACAGCTAAGCTTTCTAACCTCTATTCTTTATTTTATTTTTATTTTAGAGGAAGGGAGAGAGGCGGGGAAACATTAGTCAGTTGCCTCCCACATGGGCTCCATCAGGAATAGGACTTGCCACTTTTTGGTGTATGGGACCACCCTCCAACCAACTGAGTCACACCAGCCAGGGCTAACCTCTATTCGTGATAACATTTCCCACCTTTACCTACTTCAATTTTTCTCTGCCTTCAAACACAACCAAGTTTTCTATAAAATCTTTTACTGATTATAATGCTTCCTTTAGTTATAACTGCTGCTTTCCATTACTATATTTATTTTTTAAAAAAAATATATTTTATTGATTTTTTTACAGAGAGGGAGGGAGAGGGATAGAGAGTTAGAAACATCGATGAGAGAGAAACATCGATCAGCCGCCTCCTGCACACTCCCCACTGGGGATGTACCCGCAACCAAGGTACATGCCCTTGACTGGAATCGAACCTGGGACCCTTGAGTTCGCAGGCCAACGCTCTATCCACTGAGCCAAACCGGCCAGGGCTACATTTCTTAATGAGTAGTGTAACTTGATTTCCCCTTGAAATGAAAGTAGCTGCCCCCCCCCCCATTATAAATGAGAAATAAAAACACAAATCTCATCTTCAATGAAATTGGAAGATATCTGCTACAGAACGTGTGCATAGAGAACAGGGTGGAAAATGGGGAACTAGGTTGAAAATTTGCATGACAGCAATTAAATCTCTATGGTTCTTACTCCGCCACTTAGAGTAGATGAGACATTATTTGGAGAAACTGAACCAGAGAGGTGTGGGACTTTGGATATCAGACATAGCAAGGACAGAGGGGAGGCTTCGGACTAAAATCAGAATGAAAGTTCCCCGTTCCCTTAGCAGAAAGAAACAGAATGGCCAAAGCGAAAAGATCTATAGTGCTGCTATCTGGGAATACTCTAATAAAAAGCTGGAAGTCCAGCCAAACCTGCAGTGGACCTCCCCAGTCCACAAGCCCCGCCGACTCACACACAGCTTTTCAGGCATTGTTGTGCTTCATTCACTCTAGAACATGAATGTTCACAGGTTATCAGTTTTGAAGAAAGCCTGTAACATAAACAACGGAGACTAAAGCATAAGGAACTTGGAGAAGACAGTAACCATAAAAGGAACAGAAAATAAAGTTGGATTCTTACAAATTAAGAGAAGATATTACACCTAAGAATGACTAAGAGAAGGTGCAGGACAATCAGAGAATAAGGGCTTGCAAATTAAAATCACGAATGCAGAAATAAAATACTCAATAGGAAAGTTAGAGGATGAGTTGAGAAAATATCAGAAAATCAGAAAATAGTGGTTAAGACAAGAAAGCTAAAATTAGATCAGAAAGAGCAGGGGCCTCAGCCGCCCGCAGTGCACCCTGGGAAAGCAACAGCATCAGACCCAAGATGGCAGCCAGCAGGAGGCTGATGAAGGAGCTTGAAGAAATCCGCAAATGTGGAATGAAAAACTTCCGTAACATCCAGGTTGACGAAGCTAATTTACTGACTTGGCAAGGGCTTATTGTTCCTGACAACCCTCCATATGATAAGGGGGCCTTCAGAATCGAAATCAGCTTTCCAGCGGAGTACCCATTCAAACCACCGACGATCACATTTAAAACAAAGATCTATCACCCCAACATCGATGAAAAGGGGCAGGTCTGCCTGCCAGTAATTAGTGCTGAAAACTGGAAGCCAGCAACCAAAACCGACCAAGTAATCCAGTCCCTCATTGCACTGGTGAACGACCCCCAGACCGAACACCCGCTTCGGGCTGACCTAGCTGAAGAATACTCTAAGGACCGTAAAAAATTCTGTAAGAATGCCGAAGAGTTTACAAAGAAATATGGAGAAAAGCGACCTGTGGACTAAAATCTGCCGCGACTGATTCCGGGAGTGTGAGCAGAGGCCCTGAGCAGCGCATTCAGACACTCCGCCCAGCAGGACTCTGTGGGAAATGGACACGGGCCCCCACCTGGCGTTCGCTTGTGGCAGTTACTAACTTCCTACAGTTTTCTCAATCCAAAGTGGTCTAGGTAACCTGTAAAGAAAGGATTAAAATTTATTTAAGATGTTCTAGTTCTGCTTTCTTTGTTTAAAAATCACTGTTTTAATCTAAAAAAAAAATTAGAGGATCAATACAGACTTTTCATAGAAAATAACAAAACGTATGGGGAAAATTATCAAAGAAAATGTATTAGAAGAACATAAGCCTCTATAATGAAAGAGCCCACTGAGCACCCAGTAATGCTGGGGGGGAGGGGGGGGATACATGTAAAGTTACATTATTCTAAAATGTTAGAATCCTTAAAATAAGGAGATACTAAAGTCTTTCTACCTTATAGGTAACAATACTGTACTGTATACTTAAAAATTTGTTAAAGAGGATAAACCTCATGCTAAGTGTTTTTAA